GCATGGATGGAGTCCCCTCACACTGCTGAAGTCTTGCTGTGCTGGAGGCATCGCTGCTCCTGCGGGTGTGCAGAGCTGTGCTTACCATAGCTGCAGAGCTGGAAGGAGATAAGCTTGCAACATTTCCGTTTCAGTCCTCTTTATTTTTTTTGTTGCCATTGCTACTGATACAGTAGGGTGAAGGCAGGATGTCAGTGGTCTCCAGAGGACATGGGGCCTCCGAGTGGAGCACATCTGTGGGTGTGGGGGGAAGGCTTGCAACCAGCATGAATCTGGTTGTTCTCCAGAGGATTCTCCTCCGCACACAGGATTGTTTTTAGTTGGTATCATTGATGTGTACTTGGTGAGCTGTTAGACAATAGGCAGTTTGTATCAAGACAGAATCCCAAGAAACGTTGATGAAATAAAATGAAAAGGGCAAGAAAAAGTTAGGATACCATTAGATCAATTATCTTCAAGCCAGTCTCACTGGGCTGTCTGCAGCAGACTTCTCTGTGCCAAAATGGGAAACGAATGCTGGTGAATGTGACAAATGTTATGCTACTATATTTATGTTTGTCTCCTTTAAAAAATGCTTCCTTATTTTAACTAGTCTGTGGCATGCTGGGTGTTTGTCTCCATTTGATTAATGTGACTTCAAACTGGTATTTATTAACTAATTTTCCAAGATGGTCTACAAGCACTTAAAAAAAAAACACACACAAAAAACCAGCAACCCCAAGTATCCTCACATTGATGCTGATGAACAATCTTCAGTAGTGAGAATGAAGGAAAGGCCATTGAGTGAGCACATTTAAACTTACTTAGCTCTCTTCCTTTTTAGAAGTGATCTAAATTTAGCATGCCAAGAGTTATTTTGGTGCCTTAACTGATAAGTGTGTTGTCCACTCTCAGCGTATTCTGTGTGCAGAATTTCAGAATTCCAGGAACAGCAGGATGTAACCTTTCTTTCACCTGGAAACATAAGCAATTCTCGGGGCAGCTGATAGTCGACGTCATGAAAAATGGGAGGCAGCCAGGAGCTGGAGCTAAGGCAGCAGCCTGAAATAGGCCTGCCAGAAGGCTTGCTTTGCACTGCCCATGCTGATGTGTCAGAGGTGGTATGAGCAGAAACACTGAGCTCAATCTTGCAGTGCACGTGAAGAAGTAGTCCCAATCATTTCCTTTTTCAGTGTCGTGGAAGCTTGGCTAAATAGATGTTACAGTTTCAGCTGTCTCAATGTATGGTAGCGCCTTGCTCCATTTCTTTATGGTTTCCTTTCCTTTTCACTCCTGGGCAGTGTGTCCATCATCTTAAAAACTCCATCTCCAGGGACACAAAAATGAGGCAAAGAGAGTCCAAGTTTGAAATGGTTTGGAGAGGGTGGTCGGAGAAGGGGGGAGAGGGAGGCAGTGAGAGGTTGCGGGGAGGCAGGGGTGCAAGGGGTTTTGGTTGTGCTGGTTTACAGGCAGCATGCTCATGGGAAAGGGTACAAAATATTCTGGTTTGCACATCACTCGCTAAATGATTAATCGAGGTCACGTTTAATTATAGAATCAGCTCCATTTCTGTCTGGCTGGAGGTGCAGTGTGCTGTGGTTGGGCTGTGTGCAGTTGTGTGTCTCGCTGCACTGCCTTGCCAGCTGAGGAAATGTGAGTTCCCAGACATCCAAAAGCTCAGTTCAGTAAGATGCTTTAATGCCATTAGAGCAAGCTAGGGTTCAATATATAACTTCTTTTCACTCAGAGCAGTGAAGAATAATTGTATCAAACAGACACAGAGACTATCCTTGACCCATCTGCCTCCTGCTCCTGTCAAAATGAGAATTTGTCTAAATGAGTCTTGAATAGTCCTTGTTAGTGAGTCAGGACACCTAGAGTCAAGACAAAATAGTTAACAGATGTCACAGTTACTTGACAAAATACTAGCTGGTTTAGGAAGCTGGGGGCTTCGTCAGCTGCTTTGACAGTAATTAAAATGCTGCACGAGACATCTGCGCAGTGCTTCATCTCGTCTGGGGCTGCAGAACCTGGCAATGCAGCGTGCTGATAGTCTTCTTTTCTGTGTGCTGTCCATCGGGTGTGTGGAGGATAATGAGAAGTAATGGGGAGAGTTATTTTTGTTAGCTGCTGGTGTATATTTTCAAAAAAACAAATGTGAACCCTCCAGCTAAAACTCTCTTTAGGAATTTGAAGGCTCTGGAGAACCGAGCTGATGAGACAGCTGTTTGTCACTCCATGTACCCTTATTTAATTCTAGTAAGAGAGACACATAAGCTGTGCTGCGTTTGCTTTCTGTTTTCTCTCCAACTTGATTGCTTACCAGCTTCTAAACTTGAAGAATGCTTAAGGAACGTATTCGTGCTAATGGAAGAACCATCTGATGGTGCTGTCACGGGTTTTAGACGATTTAAAAAAATATTGTACTCTGATAGCTAGGAAACTTTGTTATTCACCTTTCAGGAATAAATAAGTTACTTAAAGGTGAAGTCATTCTTGCACAGGTATGGATATCACTGGAGGTCAGGAGTGTAGTCTGTCCAGGTCATTGGACATCTGTCATGAACGCACACCTGGCTGCTCAGGCTCTGTGTTGTCGCTGTTGGCTGGTGAACAGAGCAGCACCCTTATCCTGTGCTGACCAGCAGTTGCACATTCTTACCTCTGATTTACAGCTGCAGAAACAGTGCTTCAGCATGCTTCTGACGTGTTTTTCCTAATCAGGACATTATATGTGCCCTGGTATCGTACACATGCTGACAGATCTTAATGCAATTGGTGTGAAATTTTCTTTAACAGCCATATGCTTCTTCTTTTAAAACTACTGCTTTTAAAAACAAAGCCAAATTACGAAATGGCGAAGTAGAAAAACAGCCACTTGGAGCCAATTGCACAGCAATGACTCGATGAGTATTGACTTATGCTGGTTTTATGTGTTTTATTTTCATGTACAGACTGTGATCTCTCTCTGCCATCTTTGTCTCACTGTTTCAGTTACCAGTGATTGATCCCAACTCAAGGAATTTATAAAAACTGTCATGGGGAAAAAAAGAGCCTAAGGAGTAAGGCCTTTGGAGAGATGTAAGCTAGTTACCTCGTGTGTATCAGCGGTTGGAGAGTTACAGCCTGCTTTAGAGGCAGAATAAATACTGGGTTCTCATACAGCAAGCTCACTGTAATATGTTGGATGAGAATTGAGACTTATGTGTATGCTGCAGGTCTCAAGAATGCTGTGTTATTCTCAGTCAACTTTCCATGTCAAGTAGCTGATGCTAATGAAATAGGCCAAGCGTTTCCTGTAAAGCCAAGTGTCGGATGGAGGCCTCTGGCAAATGGAAAAAGGGTCAAACTATCTGACAATACACAGTATTTTACCTTCTCCTGATGAGAAGAAAAATGTTACATGTAACAGTATTCAGAAGCTTCTGAAGAAGTTGTTCAGATGCTGATCCAAGATCCTGGCAATGTCGTGGTCACTGGGTTGTGTTGCCATCCAGCCTGAAGCTGGGGAGTTCTGTGCTTGTCTGTTTTGTTATACTGGGATAAACATACATGAAAGGGAAATATTTTGTTGTGACCATTCTTATTCTCTTTCTTCCTAGCCATTAGTGTGAGGTTTATGGTCAGCCTAGGAAATATACTAATTTGATCTATTGTGTCAATGGGCGTAAGATGAGAAAATCACTTGAAACGACTTCTTTTGGTACCGAGTAATGCAGAAATGGGCAGATCTTACTGTTAGTTAAATTCCAGTATGTTTGAATATAGGTTGGTGGATGAGGGAGGATGGTGCAGGCTCGGAGCTTTGGCTTGGCATCCCCCGGGGAATGCTGTGTGGCTCATCTGGCATGAGCTGGGAAGGAAGCATGGTAAATGTCCCAGTGAATTGGCATGGTTTTTTTGTCCTATTGCAAAAAACTGCTGCAGTACACAAGCCCACAGTGCAATGAGGCACATCAGGCAGCTGTGGTAAAAGATGCCGTTTTAGTTCTTTTTCTATCAGAGATGTGGCAGGAGTGGAATTCCAGTGTGAATCTTTCTTAAGGACATAAGGGATTAATGTATCTTAAAATAGACACTGCCAACTTAGAAGTGGGTTTTTCAGATGAGATTATGATGAATATTGCGGGGAAAAGAATGGGAATAATGGTATTTGGGATAACTTGTTTACAAGATTGTTACATTCCTCAAAGCCTGGAGAGCTGTTGTGGTTTTATGTGCTCAAGTAGCCAGGCACATTTCCATTTTGCAGGGTTATTTTTACTTCTGGTGATCACATGGCACCACAGACCTCTCTGTTGGTTACTGGGGTGGGCAATGAGCCCCCAGACTGGCTGGCACCCACCTTGATTTTGGGGGGGGAGGGTGTCACTGACTGTGGGGTGAGCAGCTGGAATAGGGGCACCTGTTTCTAGCATGTGCTTTTCATCAGGGGACAGGTAGCTTTGCAGTGGTGCAGCTACTCCTTAACCACAGCATCCCCTGCCCCTGATGGCAGCAGCGTCAGTGGAATAAGTGTGACATATTGCTTCTCCTGTATGCCTGATAATTTATTTATGCATTCCACCTAATTACAGCGTAATAATAGACTTGAAACAATGTGATAATTATTTCGTTTCTTGAGTGGTTAAAATTAACTGTGCTCATTGCATATTTAGTCAGTATAAAAGATACAAAATGTTTAGTAATTGTCCCGAAATTCATTATCTGGATAATATTCTGTTTCTAAATGTGTATTGCATGGCCAGTGATGTGTCAGCAGCAAGCATACAACAATATCTGATGTCATTACTTTTTTCTGTACGTGCCATCTCAGCTATTGGTGTGTTGTTGACAAAAGTGCTGTTTGGATGGGAGTTCCAGTTTGTGCTGAGATGCTCTTGTTAGCTTGGTACTGAAGTCTTGCTCACAGTGCGTATGGACCGCTTTCACAAGTGTTGGGATAAATAATATGTTATCTTTTTAAGCAGGGGAGAAATAAACAAACCCATAACAGTGTACCTTCTCTTTTGTTTTACCAGCCTCCACTGGTCCAAGCTATTTTCAGCGGTGATCCAGAGGAGATACGGATGTTGATCTACAAAACCGAAGATGTCAACGCCTTGGTATGTGACTTGGGATATGTTTGTGCTGGGATTTGTGAGTGCCATGCCTGTGAACTTTCTCAGTGGCAATGCCAATCGTGTCCTTAGCAATTAGCATATAACAGAATGGAAAAGGCTGGGGGCTTCAGTAGAGTCCTCATTATTCGTCTGACACATAATTATCTCCAGCAGGTGATCTCTAAATATGATAGTAATGATTCCAAATGTGCAGGTCACGGAAGGACATTGTTTTCTTGCACATTGAGAAAATGAGTGAAAACAGCTGAAAGCTGCATGTTTTTATTCTCTGTAGAGTCTCCTTTTTGGAAGAGTCTTTACAAATCAGGAGCTTTTATTCACCATCTGACTGTACTTGAAACAAAGCTTAACTAAAAGTCTCAGCAGTGAGAGTAAGGAAGCAGCATCTTGGCCACTGTCCACAGAGGAGCTGCTGTTCTTCAAATTGGCTTGTTCTAAATAGAGCAATGGTAAGCAGCTGCAAACAAGTAGTATTTAAGTATTTCAACAGAGAAAAAACTCTCTACTTGAGCTTTATTTTTTTGCACATTTCCTCTTTCTTCCTTAGGCTTCTTAAAACTTGATTTTAACTGAAATCTGTACTATTTGAAATGAATCTTGCCAGTCTGGACTACAGTTTGTGGCCTCTCAGATTGGTGACAATATCAAGCAGAAATGGAGTGATGTTTTCCAGGTGTTTCTTAGACTTCGGAATCAACCTTCCTTTTCTTCATGTCTTTCTCTGACATAGAGTCACTAGTTCATTCAGAGCTAATTCCAGCACTTTAGCCTGGTGCAGCCATGGCACTGCAGCTTTTACAGATAGGCAGGGTCCTGACATCTGGATCAGAGGTGCAGAAAGGAGCAGGAGAGGTGAGCGTGTTCAGTTCACTGTCAAGTGGATGGAAAGATTTGCTTCTGTTTTTAATGAGGAATTTGGGCAGAGGAGGAAGACCTTGACGTGAGGCTTTCCTTGTGATTCACTGACTGCTTGTTTTCTTGAAATGTCTTCTCAAAAGTGTTTGCATAAAGCATCTTGTACTTTGAGCTTCCTCCGTATTTGTTTTCCCTGATCATCTTAAAAATTATATAAAACAAAAATAATAATAATAAAAAGTTTAGGTGAACATAGTAGTCCTAAAATTTCCTCTGTATTTTGTGTTAGCTTTTCAAAAAGTGTTTCTTGTACGAGGTTATAGTAGGCTTCTCAAATGTTTTTATATCCTTTGGCTGCAAGTGTGCTAGTGATGGTTGCTAGGGAGATGCTCTCATCTGTCAGGTACAATGTTAAATGCTGAATATGTGTTTTATAGATGAGCACCATAGTATTTAATGGAAAGAGTCAATTGAGTGGTTTGGCTAGAATCCTATTTAAGTTAGTAACAACGGGCACAAGAATGTTCTGACTGAGCAGCTGTTTTGTCCTTAGTACTAATTAGAAAAATACCAGTCAACACAAAGTCTGAAGATTGTGTTTTGAATAGTCTTTGCAGAGAAGTGTTAAATGCCTAAACTGTCACTAGAGAGATCAAAAGGCAGCATGTTTTGCCCCTGTGCTGCCAACTGGCTATTTGTGATACTTGCTTACATTTCTATTTTAAGGGTGTTTTTAATTACTTCCATGCTAGTTTCTCTAGTGCTTGGGCTCACGTGAGAGGAAACTGACACTGTTTGGCAATGCTTTGTCCTTTGTTGATCGTTTTTCTATGCTGTCTTAGTACTGAAATAAATCAAATGTAAGTAGAAGAGGGAAACAAAACTCTCTTCTTGCAGCAGATTTTAGGGATTTCTAAAGTTTTATAGATTTTAGAGTTTTCGAGGAAGGCAGAAGAAAAAGCCCATGGAGAAACTATGCAAAATGAGTCAAATATATGCATGTTTCTTAAGAGAAAATTTACCTTGCAGGAAAAAATTCAGAACAAATCAGTTTAAAAGGTTACTTTTTTTTTTTTTTTTTTTTTCACTCTGGTCAAATAAGTAAAATCTTCCCAAGCCAGGAAGCACATGTTTATGAAAACAGCTGCTTTCTGGGTGCTGCTATAATTCTGACTTCTGTTTTGCAAGTGAGTTGCAGCTGCTTGGCTCAGAAGCGTGTTTTCAGGTCATTCAGCAGTCACTTTGACCTCCTCATTTCCATGCTGTGCCTGGGGGTACGTGGTCCTGCTGTGCATCACAGAGGCACGGGCAGCGTTGCATGTGGCTGGCGGTGATCAGTGCTGTGTTGTGGAGGACTCAACATGCTGCTTCCCTGGAGAGCCTGGGCTGCCTCTGGGTAGCGTTCAGCAGCCTGCTCTCCCAGGCTGCATGGGACATGGGCTAGCACCGTGCAGACCACTGAGTTAGTTTCAGGCAGGAAAACTGAAGGAGGATCTTATCAATGCTTATGAACATCTGTTGTACTGGAGTCAAGTGGAGGGGGCCAGGCTTATTTCAGTGGTGCCCGGTGACAGAACAAGGGGCAATGGGCACAGACTGGAACGCAGAAAGTTCCATATGGACGTGAGTGTGACAGAGCACTGGAATAGGCTGCCGAGAGGTTATTGAATCTCCTTATCTGGAGGAGGTAAAAACCCACCTGAATGTTTTGTGTGAGCTACTCTAGGGAGCCTGCCTTAGCAGGAGGTTGGATTTAGACGTTCTCCAGAGGACCCTTCCAATCCTCACAATTCTGTGAATTTTTGCTCATTTTCATTCAAGCAGACGTCCCGAGCTGGCAGATATAGTGCAGCTGCAGTGACTCCTGATGGGCCAGGCTGAAGCCATGTTGAGGTATAAGACTCTTGGGCATTGCCTGCCCGCTTCTGCCTGCAGATCTGGTTGGTGGATACGGCACCAGCAGAGACTGCAAGGCCCTGCACGCATGCGCGGAACTTACATATACTTCTGCAATACTGCTAAGTGTGCTTTTTGGGATGGTGCAAATGTTTGACAGTACAAGTGTGCACGTGTTTCAGATTCTCAATGTGAAAGGATTTGCATGCTTAGGATAGCTAATGTGGAAAACAGCTTGTCGCTTAGTTTAGAGGGACGTGTTCGACTTGGGACAAAAAGGCAAAGCCACGTGGTATTTCAGTCATCTTGGGTATCAGGCCCTTGTCTTTGCTCTCATCCAGGAATCATTTTTTTTTGGCACTGTGGAATCTCATAGGAGATAAAGCTATCCTGGAAGCAAGTGACTGTCTTTTGGAAGTGCTCCTGCCATGTTAGAAAACTTCCGAAGGATTCAGGATGTTTGGAAGGCTTCTGTTTTGTCACCGTAGGACAGTTTCTTATGAGCTAACGGCTGTGTTGTCAGCAGGTTAAATTTTTATAGAACAGTAACACTTGTCCTGTTTCTTAGGTTGCAAACCCACCTGTAATTGAAAGGAGAGAGTTGAAGAGGTCTGGTGCCCACAGCTTTTCCTCTAAAATTAATTTGATTTAAGTAACAAAATGCACTAAACTGGTAAAAATCAATTTATCATTGCAAAACTAGTTGAAGAACAAATCTCAAGATTTAAGCTGAAAACTTTGAAGTAACGTAAAGTCAATACATAAATATGATCAGAGTGAGCACAAAATCTTTTTAATTTGGCCCTTGAAGGACAACAGTAGCAGGCAGTGAGATGGTGCATGGCTAAGCCCTTTAGAAGCATGTTTTTCTAACAAGGTTGCAGATTGTGTATCTTTGTCAAACCCTTGTTTATCAAATTCAGTTTAAAAGAAGCCGCATTTCCCTTAACTGCTGTAAGTAATTATTTGCAGAACAATTGTGGCTGATGTTATGTAGTAGAAATACTGTTAAGCATCTTATTTTCTTACAGTACTTTCCTATTTAATAAGAAGAGCAGTCTTTCTATTTTTTCTCTTTGACAAATTCAAATACTGTGCATTAACCTTGCTGTTCTTGTAAGTGAAGAAGAAATGAGAAGATGTAATAGGAATAATCTGTGCGAGTAGTCTGAGACAAGAGTAGGAGTGTATATTGGAACATAATCATCCAATGCTACCTCCTGTGATGCACTTCTCCAGTATGTTTTCTCAGTCTTAGTACTTAATTTGACTAGTTTTTGCGACCTCCTGGCTGTAGCTGGTTGCTTGGAGATGGTGGGAGTCCCAACCTTCTCTCGGCTCTCAGTCACCTGGTGAATGCTGTTTCTGTGGCACTGTGCTGAACCATTTCTGCTGGTTTCTCAGGCAGATGGATTACAAAACGTGGATGCTGACACTTATCTTCTGTTGAAGTCCCTCTTACATTGTAATAATAATTACGTCCCCCAAATGATCTCATCTGAACAGGTGATACAAAGGTTCAAATCTTTTGCCTACTTTGAGATGCAGGCTATGCTGAAGAGAAACTGCTGGCCTGTTTCTTGATGTGCCTGAATATTCCGCGTAGGATGGTATGATTCATGTGAGCCCCACCACGTATACTGGGGCTCTGATCCAGTAAAGCACTTAGGACTTAATCTGTGGTGCACCTTATCAGTGCCACCGGGATCCCTTCAACAGCTGAAGCATGTGTTGAGTGCTTTTCTTGTTGAGGCCTTCTGCTCTTGATCACCTATTTGTTAAATTCATAATTTCCTTTATTAGTAGTTGAAAAATAAAGAAGTACAGATACTGTTAACTCTGAATCATCTCTGAGAACCGGTGTAAGCCCCTCTAATAGGTTTTAGTGAGACAGTGTTTGTTTCAGCTTCTCTTTTACCCACTGTTCAGCTTATCTGCGGTCTCTTACTGACCTTTCATTCCTTTAAGAGCTGCACTCGAAGCAGGCCTGATTGTTTGTCTTGGTGCTATTTGTAACTCTGTTATCACTCCTTCCCGCCTCCCCTTTCAGGTTTGGGGCACTGCCAAACTCTCTTGCTGAAACGACAGATTTCCTTTTTTAATTCCCATCTCTGTTTGTAGCCTTTGGTCTTTACACCGGTGTCTTATTTTTTGTGCTCCTTTTAATGCCTCTGCCACAGAATGACACCTGTAGCCCAACACCTGGACCAGGAGCTTTGCAGACCTTGCTGGAGTGGCTGGTGGCTCTCAGGAGGACACGAGGAGCATGGTGGGACGGGCAGGCGGGTGCTCCATTTCCTCTGCATTTCTATCAGCTTTGAGTGCAATGTAAACAGGAACTCAAGAGTTTTCCTCTGCTGAGTTTCTCAAGGCTCAGCAGCAGGCATCTTGTTGGCACTTCCCAGTGAAGCCCAGAAGATGCTGCCTGGAGGGCTCTTGTGTTCGTTTGCCCACACTGTGCATCTTTTTTTTTTTCTTCTGATAGTTTGTGTGAGGATGAACTTGTTATTGCCTGGCTGAGGTAAATGGAAAAGGTTTTGGCTTTTGTGCCTAAAACTTGGATAAATCAATCAAGTACAATTTAATGATGGAAACTTTTCTTTCTCTAAAGACTTTAATTCTCATCTACTGTGAAAGAATTTTGCTTTGACTTATAAAAACAAAAGCTGAGATTAGTTACAGTAGTTACTACTCCAGTGGTGGAAGCATTCCTTCTGTTGTTCTTCTCCAGGTTTCAGACCCATCAGTATCCCTTTGGTTTTAAAATGTACTGCAAAACAGAGTATAACAGTTCTACTTTTCTATTTCCTGTCCTTTCCTCCCTGGATTATCAAACTTCTGTCAGGCTTACAGTTTAGTACAAAATATTGTTTATTATCAACAAAGCACTGAATAGCCTTGGTTCCTCGATATAGAAGATTTTTTGTTCTTGCATTGTTAGCGTTGAGCTTCAAACTGTTTCAGCTCTGTTGGCAGACTTGGCAGTGCAGCAGGAAGCTGCTGCAAAATTTATAACTGACAGGTATGACAACTGTTAGAAATACTACGCTTGTACTAGGAGAGATTTGTGTAAGAAGGTAAAAATAAATAAAACACATTCTTTTCTTGTACAAGTCTTGCATGCATCCTAGTAAAGTAATGCAGTGGATAGTATTTGTATAGGCAATGAGAAGCAGTATTTATGAAAGTTGACAAAAGTTATCTTGGTGTATGAACTCTTGCAGGCCATAAAATCTAGTCCTTAGGGGATGACAGCATGGCAAGTCAACAAGCAAGCAGTGCACAGTCAGATTAGCCTTGGTGAAGCTTCAGCTCTTGTGGTAACTTGAATGTATAAGAGAATCCAGTTTATTATAATTTTGGTTTCTGGGCAGACGCTGTTGGATGTGGAGCTCTTATGGAGCGTGGCCCCTGAATCATCCAGTGCTCCTGATTCTGAAAGTGAAAATGGAGAACAGCTTCATATTCCTGTAATTCGCGTATGGCGTGAGGAGGTGAAGCTCTCTGAGGCATCTTGTTCCTTGACCTGGGGCCGCAGAAGTTGAGGACAAATGTACATTGTGTATGGCTGGGAAAAAAAATATACAAATGTAAGAATTGTGTGTGGCTCATTCTGGACACCAGTGGCTCTATTGCACAGCTGAAAAACAATTTTCAGCATGCACATGACAAATGATTCGGCTGTACTCATTTGTTCACATTTATAGCATACTTTGAAGATAGTCCAAAATAGCTTGCAGTTGATGACCTCTTGGGCATGTTAAAAGAGATATTTTACTTGACAGACTGAGAGAGATATTTCAGGGGGAGAGTGCAAATACCAGTAGGATTTCTCTGCTGGTATCATTTGCAGGAGGTGGTGAATTTGTTACCAGTATTGAATGATGGTAGGCTGTAATTTAGAAAGTTTAATTGATAAGACTCTTAGAACTTGGTGTATTAGTGGTTAATAGGCCAAATGAAATACATATTGGGACTGAGAACAGAGGTAAAACAGTATGATAAGCAGTATTAGCTGTTGTGATTTGTTGCCTGTATCATCACATTCAACAGTTTCTTTTAAAGGCCTATGTTCTGGAGTCATCAGAATGAAGGAGTAAAAAAGGTTTTTTGTAAACACCATGTTTATAACATATGAAATCACAAGAAGTCTTGAAAATTTAACTTCTTAATCTTGAAAGTGACAGAAATCAAGAGGAAACATCTTTGCTTTCTAAGTTCTATGCAAGATTATTAGTGATTTTTAGAAATTTAAAGCTGCAGTTGGTAATATTTTTCTAATTAGTGTTTCAAGTTTCATCACTGCGTACAAGTCCATTTCTGTCTGCATTAGTCAATGAGAGTAAATGGTGTACGATTACCTTCCAGGTCTATGAGAATTGCATCTTGTCTGTGTAAGGTTCCAGACCATCTTCCAAAGATGGCTCTCTTGATGATGAGGCAATACTGCTGATGCAAACTGCATTGCAGTATGATGTCTACAAGCATCTCAATTATGTTGCTACAGTTTTTAGTTGCAAATCTTTCCAAAAGAGACCCGGGAGACCCATGTCTCTCATGTCTAGCTGTGTTCTGGCTTTCCAGGATGTGATGCAGTGTGCAATGTGATGGATAGTTCATCTAAATTTGGATTAGATGAGATTTTATCTACCCGTATGAAGGATTTCAGAGTGAAGAGAATTTCTCTGCTAGGTCTGATGGAACCTGGTGACAAAACATTGAGGATTTTTGCAAGGATGTGTTTTCTTCAGACCTTGAATTCTGCTCTTTCAGGGGTTGAACTTGTGTTTTTAATCACAAGCAGGAATAGTTGTAGGAAAATATACACCGTGTAAAAACACATTGCCTGCTAATACTAATGCTTGCAGTCATCAGCCATGTTTTGTAACTGTATGGTCTGTGGCTTTCAGGATGCTGAGAAGCGAACTCCTCTTCACGTTGCGTCATTCCTTGGGGATGCAGACATCATTGAGCTTCTCATTTTGTCAGGTAAGTTAGCGCCTCTCTTTGCTACTAACTGTTAAATTAATTTTAAATCTACTAGAAATAAATAACAGAACACATGAGAGTGAACTTGGGGAGTAGAAGTTTCTGGATTTCATAGAGCTGGTTGCAGTTGTTTGCAGACTTACAAAATATGTTTAATTTGGGTGGTGTAACTATAAAATGTACTGTGACTGAATGAAATCAATAGACAAAACAAGTAGTTTGTAAAAGCTTCTAAAACTTTCAAGCTGACAATATTTGTGGATTCAAATGCATGCGAAAGTAAATACATGTTTGAAATGTAGACTCTAGTCCTGGACCATAAGCCAAGAATTTCTGTTAAGTAAAAATGATTATGGAATAATAACAGAAAGTTATGAATGAGTTTGAATAAATTGTAATTGGTATTTAGAATAGAAAGGGAGTCAAGGAAGTTGACTTGGAGAATAGGAACACTGCAGTAGAATGTATCTAAGCAAGAACTTGCAAATCTGTAATAGAACAACAGTTATCCTTTGAAACCACTTAATACTAGTTGATACTTGACTTTTTGAAATGCATATTTTTGTCCATAGTCTCTGAAAAAATGAGAAACTGGTCAAAAAAAGAAATTGAGTAGACAGTTAAATGTCAGAGTAGAAACAGCATGCATATATGTATATATATACGTGTGTATACAGCACAAAATATTTTTATTTTTTATGTTTGTACATTATCTTAGGGTACTCTAGTCAAAACTAAACTATATTAAAAGTTTTCTGTTAATGCTCATATTCACATAAATATCTTTGTGTAATGATTTAAATGCTTTCTTGATGGGTTTGCCAAAAGGCTCATCTTGGATTTTGTCATCTAATGTCACAGTCATAGAATAGTGTAGGTTGGAGGAGACTTGAAGATGATCTTGTTCCAGCTCCCTTGCCATGTGCAGGGTTGCCAACCACTGTGTCAGGTTGCCCAGGATCACAACCAACCTGGCCTTGAATGCTTCCAGAGCTGGGACATTAACACCCTCTCTGGGCAACCTGCTCCAGCATCTCACTGCCCTCAACCTTTCTTCATAGAAGAGGTGCTCCAGCCCTTTGATCATCTCTGTGGCCTTCCTCTGGCCCCATTACAACAACTCTGCATCCTTCCTGTACTGGGTACAGGAATCCAGATGGGGTCCCACGAGAGCAGAGTAGTGGGGAACAATTCTCTCCCTCTCCCTGCTGGCCACTCCTCTGTTGATGCATCCCAGGGTACTGTTGGCCTTCCAGGCTGCTAAAGCTGCTGGCTCATGTCCAGCTTTTCATTCGTCAAGACCCTAAAGTCCAAATCATGAACAGAATAAGCTGTTTGTATGCATGGGGCCTGGTCAGTGATTCGGTGATAGGTGCTCAAAATACCTCACTCTTATTTATTTATTTATATGGTTAAGTAGTGTGTGTGTGAGAGAGAGAGATAAAGACTAAATTGCCATCTTAACATTGAACTACAACTCTGGAACTCCCCTGTTTTAGTCTCTCATGCTGACACTGCTGATTTAACTTGCTCTGGATTTTTTCTTCCCAGTTTTCAGTAGGAATATAACGCCAACCTTCTTTTCCATGAGCACTGTGAAAAATAATGGTAAATGTTTCCAAACTCTTTAAGCAACAAAAAACATGATCAGAATATGTCAGAAGAAAGCATAAAGCAGATGTCTCTCAAGAAATACCTGTAATTCATGGTAAATTCCTGGATATGCTTGGAGATTTCAAAAGCTGTTTTTCTAAACTGGAGAACTGTAAAAGGTAAAGGTTAGGGTGATTTAAGAGTGTAGGATGGGAAGGAATCTTATGGTACGAATTTTCAACCCCTTGCAGGTTATCTTACTGTATGATTCCTGCTATATGATATTTGAATTTTGGATCTTACAAATTACTAGAATGCCTCTTCAAATGACTTGCATATTTTTTTAGTGAAATTATTTAAGAAATATTTGAAACTTTGAACTTGAAAATAATGCTGTCTGGAAGGAATTTCTGAAGGTTACTTGATCCAGCTTGTAAAAGAGCTTTTGTAGCCCAGAACTAATAGTTCTGTGAGCCATGAAATTGAAGAAAACCAGCTTTTCTGTTGTCTAGCAAGGTGAAAGTGCCAAACGAAGCTTCTCCCACAGCTGAGTTACTCAAAGCCGTTGAACTTGCTAGATGCTCTGATGTCTAGCATAGATTGCAGTAATACTTCAGTCTTCTAAGGTAGCTATGACACATGTAGTAGATTCACTCTAGCCATTTGTGTGACCAAGGCCCTAACACCAAAAGGACCGAGCTTTTTTGCTTGGCATTAGCACCATAGGCAGCTGTCTGTCACAGTGCCCTACACCCTGCAGTCTCTCTCCAGCTGCAGTCTCTGCTGCTTCTTCATGATCTTCAGCTTTATTGCTTGCTTCACCTCTTCTCTCTACCTGCATTGTTTTTCATTTTGCATAGACCTTGTCTCCTTGTTGAATAAAACAAGGGATGGAGGAACAGATATTCTAAATGTTTCTTTGAACAGAGCCAGCCTAAACTTCATTTGGTGAAGGAAGAAAGAATTCATTTGCTGTAGCTGTTTTTTCTCTGTATGTTTTTGAGGTTGTTTTGAGTAATCTAAGTGTTTAATGAGGGTAACTAGTTTGTCATCCATCATAAATTGGATTTTTCTGCTCTAACCCTCACGGCAGCAAAGTGATTTAAATGAACATTCCTCTGCTAGCAGGTTGTGCTTGGATGCTTTTTCATTATGTCAGATGCAAGCAGTCTTTTCTTCACTAGGAGACAAAAGCTAAACTTAATTTGTGTGTGTGTTCTTGCAGCGTGTGTTGTTTGTAACATGCTGTTGTTCTGCTGTTGTGTGTCTTTTTTTCAAGTATTGCAAATAACATCACAGGCATTATCTGCATAAATAGAAAGGTGAAGCAGTTCTGCCGATTCCTCCTGTGAATCCCAATAGCGTCACATGTCCTGACGAAGGCAGGGTACATTCTGCTGCTTGTTTTCCATTGTGTTCCTAATGAGAGAAATAAAGAAACTTTGCTGTGTTCTTCTGGGACAGTTTGTTCCAGTGCCTCACTGCCAAAATGTCATCCGCAGGCTGTAGGATTTGTCTGGTTAGCAGCATAAAAAGTAGGTGATAAATGTTGCCTACCAGCTCGGCATGAGTCAAAATTAAATCTTACACTGTGTATATCTGTCTATTCATTGTACTGTAATCTCACTACTCTCATTATTTATCAGAATGTACATCCAAGAGCAGGTTTGGAGGAGCAGGTCTATGAGTTTTTTATAAACACATTTTTGTTACTGGAATTTGTGAGCTAGGTTCTGAAGAGAGCAACAACATCTTTTTGCTTCACTTCTCCATTGCAAAATCATAATACATAGGAGTGTTTCATAAAAGATTAATCACAAAATTAAGTCATATATAAGCAGAAAAGCTTTGTTATCTGGCCTAAATGAGATAGTGTTTTTACTGAGCAAAAACACAAAAATGCTTGCTGTTGGAATCAAACTAGGGTATTCTCAGCCTCAAGCCTAGCAGAAGCTTCTACTAGCTTCTACAGCCTAGTAAAAGCTAGGAGAAATGGCATCCCATTGCATTTTGTACAGAGCTCAGGAAAGAACTGAAATGAAATATGTATATTCTAAGGTTTGTGGCCCATGAGCTGGTGACAGCACAAATAATTATAGTATCTAATGAATAAAGCTTCTACCCAGTTGCTTGGAGTCATATCAAAAATGGCTTTTTAGCCACTGAAATGGAATGTGTTTGGAATTGATAGAGGTGCAATGCCAAGTCCCTCAACTGTTATAAATCATCTCAGTCCATGAAATGTCAGGGCTAGGTGGATTTACACCAGCTCAAAGATCTCATCCGTAGTCATGTGGTTCAAACTGGAGAAGTATGTTACGTGGTTTTGTTTTTCCAGGCTATGTGAAAACGGGCTACACAGAGCTTTGAGCACTTCTCCTTCACCTTCTCTCTGTCAAGGAGAAGAACCATGGCAGCCATCTCATATAAATACTGGAGAGAAGGCGGCTGCGGGCTGACCTCATTGTAGCCTTTCAATACCTAAAGGGAGCCTACAGAGGGGAGAGGAATCAACTCTTTGAAAGGGTTGATATGTGTAGGACAAGGGGAAATGGTTTTAAATTGGGGGAGGGGAGATTTAGGTCGGACATCAGGGGGAAATTCTTTACCCAGAGAGTGGTGAGGTACTGGAACAGGCTGCCCAGAGAGGCTGTGGATGCCCTGTCCTTGGAGGTGTTCAAGGCCAGGTTGGATGGGGCCCTGGGCAACCTGGTTTAGCATTAAACATGGAGGTTGGTGGCCCTGCATGTGGCAGGGGGGTTGGAGATTCATGATCCTCGAGGTCCCTTCCAACCCTGGCCATTCAGTGATTCTGAAATACAATGTGTATATGATGGTGTGTTCATGGATGTGACAGAAGAATTGTCTGGATAAATCCAAGCTCCATGGTTATTTGTGCCTGGACCTCTCCCCTTCCTGGGCTTAATCTGGTGCAGAGGGCAGAGTGAGCGAGCTCAGTTCCCTTATCCTCTGTTCTCTCCTTCCACAGGAGCCTGTGATCTGGACAGTATTACCATATCTTTTTCTATTTCATGGGTTTTTTTTTACTATTTCAGAAAGCTTTCAGCTACTTGACAAGAAGATTATGCACTGGGGAGGGTGTGTGCAGTATTAACATCCATTCTTTCTAAGTTGTGCATAGGTGAGGAAAAGGACAAACCTCAGCATGCTTTGGAAAGGTTCCTGGTAAGCCCTGGCATGCAGGTTTGACAACAAGACTGTCACTCATTTGGCAGGTTCTGGGCCATCCCTGTCTTGTAGGCCGTAGGGAATGGCACTGCCTGACTTGAATTCATATACAGATTTTTCTCTCGTATGGCAGAGGAGATAAACAGGAGGAGGTTTGGAGTGGCAGCTTCTCTCTGCCTTTCCCATGGCTTTCAGACTCCAGTCCTTGGGGATTAAGAGTGTCCCCTTCTGAATAAAGTTTGGAGGATGTCCCAGTACAATCTCCTCACTCTTTCATGATGGACCCAAGACCTGTGTGCTTTTACCTTGCTGCTTACTCTTCCTGTCCTCTGACTGCAGTGGCATCTCAGGGCCAATTCCCTAATTAGCAAGTGACTGTGACTTAGCTCTGATGAAATTCCAGCATACCTGTTTCTATCATGTAGCTGTTCTCAGGCTCTTAGGTGCATTTATCGACATCTAGCATGTGTTGCTCTCCTGTTGAAAGTCCCAGTTCCACCTACTGTGTGGAGCCATTCTGTTAAATTTTTTGTGCTGATCTTTGCTTTATGTTGTGCATCTCTGTGTGTGGTGGTGGGTCACTACTTATACTTTTGTGTTGCTGTTTCTTATCAGGACTTGGAAAAGTGTACATTATTAATGTCATTGATAGATTAAAGAAGGTTCATCCGTTGATCATCCCTGATTTCAGAAATTTAGGTTGCAGAATCTAGGCTTATTGAAAATATGTGGATTTTGCCAGATGTGCTGGATGAAAAATCATTTGGTTAGGAGAAAGAGATGTTAACTTTATTCCTGAAAGCAAACATCGGGTTGTTTGTTTCTGATCTCAAGTGAACAGAGGCAATTTCAGATTTGTCTCCTCTTTTGGCAGGAAAAAAAATGGAGAGTGAAAGATCTCAAAGGCTTCTTCTCTGAAGGAGTATTTTTTGTTGATATTTTGTGGGGTGGGTGGTTGCTGTGGCTACATGGAAGGATGTTAAGAGACAACTTAAAAGGTAGAGTGTTACTGTGAAGTCTGCCAGATAGAGCAGCTGGAGCGTTAGCAGCCGTAGGCCTCTTGCAATACATTTATTGAACTTTGCAGATGATTGCAGGAAGTCCATTGAAACATGATTAAAGAACATACTTCATGGTAGAGAGTGAGATGCTGAATTTCTTGGTGACTTGAAAATTTAAGCTTCTCATTTTGGGACACACAGATGATGTTAGGTGCTGGAGATCACTTTGTTTTCAGAGTTGGATTTCTGTGTTGCTTTCAAAGAGCTGTCCTGCAGGGTGGGCATTCAAGTTTGTTAAGTGTAGAGGAGGCCTTTGAAAATGTGAGCATTGCTCCTCAGGTGTCTCCACATTCTCACTTTAAAATGGAGATGTTGTCCGTCCCCAGAGGCGTGCCTCAGTGCTGGTGGAGCTCTTTGATCATCATTAGCTGTTGCCTGCAAGGAACCTGATGGAAAACTGCAAGATGAATTTTGGTAAAGCAAATAGGCAGTACAAAGGGAAACATTTTGAAACATCTCTTCAGAGAAATATGTGCCTCAGTTCACAGAAAACACTGGCGTTGCTAACAGGCAACAGCTGAATTATGCAGCTTTTTAAAATCATAAATCACAAATTTATTCAACTGGCGCATTGAATTAGAGGTGTAAGGTGTGTGAAATCACTGTCACATAAAGAGCACAAAACCACAGAGAGGTAAGGGAATATGGAAAATTGCTGAAGAAGAAAAGGTCGATAGCATGCTGTAGATTATTTTATTTATAGTAGCAGTGTTTTGCTTTTATTATTTTCTTTCGTGCTTTTCTTGGCAGCCATCTACTGCAGCCTCCTGAAGGGTGAGTGGATCAGTGAAAGGCATGAATAACTACTGGGGGAGACACTTGCCTAGGTTTTTTTAGTCACCTTTGTATTCTCTAATACCATGGGGTGCTGAATACTGACAAATGATGTGATTTCTACTCTCATTTTGCTACTCTCTACATAGGTCTTTCTGATTTCCTACCATCTGCTTGTGGGAGTTGGTGAATAGGCAGCAATAAGGCAAAAGAAAGCTTTGTTAAGAAAATAAGGATTAAAAAAAAAAAGCAAGGTAAATGTAAAATAGATTTCTATACCTGAAAAGAGGCATTTGATGGCAGTCATTAGGAATTAATCTAGGCAGTTTGCATCCCCAAAGTCCCTATAGGATCACAGCAGTGTATCATGAGGTATCTTAGAGTTCTGATGGTGGAAGATATGGCTGCTTTATGTGTGTCTGGAGCACCTCAGACAGTGCAGACTTAGAGTTGGTACTGATAGGCATCAATCTTAATGGCCTTCTCAGGAAGACGAGGGAAGGCAGCAGCTTCCTTGCTTTATAGGTTAATTTGGAAATACTTTGAAACTGTCACACACCTTTACTGGGGTGTTTCTCTGGAGTGCAGATTGTGCCACCAGATACAAAGGTCTAAGGTGAGTTATTGCCTCTGATTGCTGCACTGGTTATGAATATAGCTTTCTTCTTCCAGCCAAAAAATTGTGTCCTAACTTGTGATTATCTGAAATAAATCTTTTTTTTTTTTTTTTTTTTCCTCTGGTTACCTAGTACAATTCCCAGTATCTGCTATGATTCAGAGGCAAACACCTTAATATTCCTGAGAAACAGCTTTCAGAAATCATTTCTGATTCAGAGTGTGATTTATTAATTACGGGATTTGACATGCACTTTTAAGTTGTGGTGCACAATGGGGCTTAAGAATCTCTTTGTTCATGAAGTTCAGAAGCTGATCTAGGCAATGTGCATGATGCTCTTGCTTCTTGTAATTTTTGTCTATGTATGCCTGTCTTCTCAAACTGGTACTGCTGTCTGCAGACATTTAAAAAATGAGTTTCTCTAGTTCTTTCCATTGAACGTTCTATTCTGAGGTGTCACTTCAATGGATAGTTTAGTATTTCTTTCAAACAAATCTCATCACACAAATATAGAGTCCCTTTTTGTCTGCAGTCAACCAACACTGTAGTAGTTGTTTAATATTCTTCTTTTATCCATTATTCTGGCAAGCGACCCTGAAACCACCCTCTTGCACAGCTGCCTTTTGTCAGGGTGCACATTAGCACTGAACTGTGCATGAGGCAAATGGATCGTGCCCTCTATCTCCCTTCTGATGTCTGCTGAGGGGCGCCTGTAGATGTGGAGGTTGGGAGGCATCCTGTTTCCTCCTCAGCCATTGTCCTTCCCTGACTTGTCTTCACAGCAAGGGAAGCAGAATTTTAACAGATATCCTATAGTTGTTAATCTTATAAATGCATACACATTAGTGCACGTGTACATATGTATGTACGTAATCCCTTGCTACAAACCCGGCTTCTATCTCCAGTAAACAAGGCTATATCGAGTTCCTTTCTTTCTGTGTTTGCTCCTATCTGTCTGGATGATGGAAATGTATTTTTAAGGGTAGAGGAGTGCCAGAAGAGCTGAGATGAGAGACTAAATCCGCGCCTGTTACTAGGAAACCAGTTGGGCAGTGCTCTTCATGTCGCACCCAAGGCATGGATGTAACCTCTGCTTGTTTACTTGCAGGCGCTCGTGTTAATGCCAAAGACAATATGTGGCTGACTCCTCTCCATCGAGCAGTTGCTTCAAGGAGTGAAGTGAGTACGATTTGATTTCTCTGCTTTTGAACATAAACTGTGCTGAGGGGAAAAAGCAAACCATTGAAAGCTGCAGCAGGCAGCACTGTGACAAACAGGTGAGCATTTGCTGTGTGCAGGGCCTGTAGCATTGCAGCCAGTGGCCTGCTTGTACCAGCTAATTACAGCTGCTGTTGAGCCTTGGTGTGGCTGACTTTTCCCTTTGCGTAACTGGAGCGGGTCGCACTGAGCCGCTGTCAGCTGGAGGGAGAGATGCTGCCTGAAGTGAGGTAGTGTCACCAGTGTGCAGGGCCATCATCGTCAGGCGGTGAAACGAGGAGGAATCAACCCGTACAGACGTGTGCGCACTGCGTGTATGCCAGGAGGGAGTGGATGTGTGTGAGATCCAAACTGCACTGCTTGTTTTGGTTAATTGCATTTCAAGGCATCCTTCGGCTTTTCTGTTAATCCGCTTTGATTGGTGCACAAAGGAAGGTTAGCCCTTATTTCTTCTGCTAAACAGCTAGAAATCTTCTGGCATCACGTTGTGCTTTTTCCACTACTGTCTCAAAAAGGAGCAGCAGTAAGTACCAGGGATGACTGTGCCATTATTTTGGCTTTCTGTTTTGGACTCCTTGTGCTCTCCCTAATACTCAGCTAAGAGTGAGCCCAGTTCAGGCTGAGTTGGCTTGTGGGTGCGAGGGGAGGGGTTATTGGACAGACAGAGTGTGGCTGCCTTCCAGGGACTGGCGGAACTTGAGTCACCTTCGTAACAATCCCAGCGCCTGCCAGGCCCGCAGGCAGGAATCCTGGGCCTGCTCCTGAACTCGGGCATTGTTTGGCTACTGGCTGAGCTTCCAGCTGCTGGCAGCTGCCAGAACCCTCTGAAAGGAATATCTGATAGGATATGAGTGCTGTAATGAGGCAAAATACAAAAAGCCGTGTTGAGAAACAAAGGTCAGACTTTAACCTTGAAAATAAGCCGCACTCTTTCTGGTGCAGGAATTGCAGCGTGCTTGGTTTCTTTTTTGGATGCTTTGAGTACAGGATTTTTATTTTCAGTCACAGTCCTAACTGAAAATGCGTGTCTTCTTGGGGGTTTGTGCCTGCTCTTTAACTCTTCAGCTGCTGAAAGCTGGTTTCGCAATGAGAAATTCTTCCCTTGTGCCTGCAGTTCTGGTACCCAAAGGAAATACCCAGAGAGGCAGTAGGGGAAGGTGTGTGGTGTGGGAGAGTGGAGACATCTCACTGATAACATGGCCTAGCTGGAAATGCTGGACACCAAAGCTTTATATAAACATTGCAGATAAAGAAGTCAATCTAAGTATTATTAGCTTAGAATTTTCAGTCTTTACCATTTACTTTTTGAAATTCTCCCTTAACTTTTTCCTTCCTTCATTGAAAGTCAAATGACATGAATATTCCTGCTGACTTCGTATCCCAGCTGGGTAGGTCCCCAGTGTATTGCATGTAAATAGCTTTTGAAACAGCAGAGCTGTAATTAAAAAAAAGAAGAAAAAAAAAGGAGAAAAGAAAATTCTGTTGAGACATCAACAGTGTATCATTCTTGGTGCCTGGAGAGATGCTGTCTACTAACTGAACCAATCTGTTAGATGTCAGTTTGTGGGATGGCTATAGAAAATGAAATTGCTGAAATTAGTGGAGACCAGAGAACAAAAACTGCTCTAATAGATGTATTCTCGATGCATACTGCAGGCGCTCTCCTGGGCCTTTCTAGATACAAAGGGGCTATTTAAACATACACACGATGAATTTGTTATTCATTAATAAATCTCTGGCTGGACTTAGCAGAAAACTTTTCAGTTTATGGAAAAAGAATTGAAAGAACATGTAGTGCTGGTCTCTCCCGCTTCCAGCTGTGAGTTGTAACTAGCAGGCAAGGCTACTTGAATGCTACTGTCCCCCTGTGACTCTTCTGTATTTTGTTTCTGAGGAAAAATAGAAGAGGAAACAATGTAATATAGACAGAGCCATTTTTTAATCCGACTTACTTAATGGCAGATGCATGAGGAGGAGCAGAAAAGAGCTGATGGTAAACTCTAATGAGACAATCTCTTGAGGGAGAATAGTACATTTTGTCACTGGGAAGTATTCACTCTTAACCCCTTGGGGAGGGATGGAACACTAATGGCAACTGGGGACACCAGTGCAAACTCTTGCATGTGGTTCTCACGGTTTTTTTGTTTTTTTTTTTTAAAGTAAAATTTTGTTTTTATATCTTTTGTTGTTGTTGTTGTTTTTTCCTTTTTCCTGTTATAAATAAAAGAACAGTTTGCTATGATTTCATGGTCCAAACTGATACATAAATATCAGTTTGAAGTAATTGATGTAAGTGCAAGCTCAGATCTATCCATTCATTTTGTCAATTGAAGCACAGTTCTGGTGTCTCGGGTCTCAAAGGTTAATTGGCCAAACAGGTTGGGCTATCTGCATGGACAATTTTGTATGTCCTAAAATCAAATTGGAAAACTGGCCGTGGACATTGCTTTGAACAGCAGCAGTGGTGATGTGTGCTCTGGCATTTGAATCAACAGAACAATGTCAGTAACCACGGCTATTGCTTGGATGAGTGTTGCTCCCTTTGTGTCCTCCTGGGCATGCCTGGGATGCATAACTAAAATGCATAGGTGACACCATTGGGTTGTCAACTGCATGTTTATTGGAACTGCTTGTTCATAACTGTAACTGTTGCTGTTGTAGGAAGCGGTGCAAGTACTGATCAAGCACTCAGCTGATGTCAATGCTCGGGACAAAAACTGGCAGACCCCGTTGCACGTGGCAGCCGCAAACAAGGCAGTCAAGTGTGCAGAAGTTATCATTCCCATGCTGAGCAGCGTCAATGTCTCTGACCGAGGCGGGAGGACAGCGTTGCATCATGCAGCTCTGAATGGCCACATTGAGGTGAATTGTTTAATAGTATAATTGATCTTTCATTATCTATTCTTTTTTTTTTTTTTTTTTTTTCTCTCCTCTTTCAAATAGTTGGCTTGCATGTCTGGGTGTAGACTAAGCCATATATCACTGACCCCTGTGGTTGCTGCTTTCCAACCTGTATGCCAGGTTTTCTGCCTGCAGAAGTGAGAGTGACAAGAAACTGCCTGTGCAGATCTGGCACGCTAGTGTAATGTACATGCAGACTTGGGGGGCTGACTGTGCACCTGGCTCTGGCAATTCAAATGTGTCCTGGCTATATTGTGCTCAACTGCCTGAGAAAGTAAGAGGTGGAATGGAAAGACAGGAAAACTGGTGGATTCATTTCATACCAAAGTAATGTTCAGATGTGTGAGATCCAGTCTGCTTTTCCAATTGTCTTCTAGAAAATATCCTTCTGGTTTTGAGATCATATGTGCTGCTTCTGCTTGCCTAATACGAGTAAGCTCTTCTAATTACTGGTTCTATATGAAAAACATAGTTTGGTAAACAAAGCCCCTGCATAAAGAGTTTTGTTAAGTGCTAGGCATGGTTGAAAGGATTCTTGTTGCTTGTTCCACACTCAAAGATCTAGATAAGGAATAGAAAGTCAGAGCTAGAACAGCAGAATTCTGTCAACGGAAATTGATCAATTATGCTGTAATTAAAAGGGCAGAAGAATGTAATTCCTGTAAAACAGTGATGGTATTTGGCCCTTAAACTACTGCACTGTTGGAAAAAAATAGTGAGGCTTGTGAGCTCTATATCTAACTATCATGATATTAAACTCCTGAACTTTCAGGTAGAGTGTATTAGAAGTGGTAATGGAAGTGTGTTGTTATTAGCTGATCTCTGTACTGTGGCAAAGCAGCTTACTAGTGGAAGGCAATTATGCATCTGTGTAATTTGTGATGTTAGAATGTTTTGTTGGGGAGGAAAGTTGTTGAATGTGTTTTTTCTTTTGTTTTTGTTTTGCCTGATTTTGCTTATTTCTAATATTGCATGACTGGTAATAGAGAAAGCAGCTTTTCAGCTCTTAGCCATACTGCAATCACATACAGAACAGCCTGATTTTATGATCACAACTTTATCACTAGAATGTATTTTTACAAAGTATTGAGTGTCTGATCTACAGGGTTTGTTTACTTGCTGTTGTTGCTTTCTAGATGGTAAACTTGCTCTTAGCCAAGGGTGCAAACATCAATGCTTTTGACAAGAAGGACAGAAGAGCTCTTCACTGGGCTGCATACATGGGTAAGGCTCAACTTGTTTGAATTTCCTGTTGACGAACTAACAGCATGTTTTATGGAAGACAAGATGCGGACCTGTCCATGGAAAATGAGAGTGGTATTTGTGCTGTGCAGGGAAAGGGTTGTCTGATCTAAATACAGTGTCTTTTCACACTTTTGCAACTGGTGAGAACATTGCTGTGATTTTAATGCAATTAATGTGGGCTTTTAATGTTGCTTTTTTAATTTTGGTCTTTCTATCCTGATCCTAATTCCAGGTATACTCCCAACTGAAGTATATTCAAACTTGAAAAAATACAGGTTGAAGTTCTATCTATTTTTGCAAAAAAAAAACCATTATAAAATACAGATAAATGTGATGATGATTTTTGCTTCTTATTCACATTCATAAGTAGACAAGTCGTGGTATTATTAGAAAGTTCTTCTCTTTTCTTATGCTAGAAGCAAATTGTCATCTTTATTTCAGAGCAGAGAAGAACAACTAATTCATGTAACATAAATGTTACTAAATGCTGCTTAAATAAATCAGACTGTATTATTATTTTCAAGTTATAGTAAATTTTGTTATTGCAGGGGATTGTTGGGATTGTTTTTTATTTAAAAATGCCAGAACAAGAAATGGTAGCAGTCACTCTTGTTCAATAGCTTTAGTGTCAGGAAAGCAGTGTATTCAGGTTGTAATTAATGAGACATTGTGTGCCCTCTGTCAGGCTTTTCACCTGACCTATCAAATTCTCAATCTTAGCCCTGGCATCTTTGGAAATGAGATAATAAGAGATTTCAGAATGTGAGAAAAGCATATTGTGATGTCCTGATAGGCACAGACAGATGGAAGGCTGCTTGCCAGCAGACATGATTTGGCATTTGAGCTAGTGAGCTTTGAAGACCACTCTGAAGTAGTGAAAGGCTTTTCTGTTGTGTTATGTAATTCCACGTATATTTGGGCAATTGAGATGTTGTCAGAAAAGACCAAAGCTGTCTGTCACGAAAGTGCTGAGCAGCCCAGGTGGCACACATCTTCCTATGATGCTTGCTCTCTTTCAGTCTGCTTAACCTAACAAAATTCTAAGAACAATAGCTGTGCTTCAGCAAGGAGCAATAATGACTGTTCCTCAGTTCCTTGAGTTAATTTTGGTGGCTAGGGCACTGTCTGGGATGGCAGAACATATAATTTGAAACCTTCAGAAGGAGGAGGAAACTAAAGATAGGTGGGCTATAAGTTGCATTTTGAGATGCTTGGCTTTTCTTATGTATTTTATGGGAGACCTTAATCCAGAGGGAGGGTATTTCACTCCTGAAAACATATGTCCCATGGGTCTGCCAGTAAGCTTTAAGTCTGTGTCACTTTTGAGGCTGTTGCAGTTATTTTAGTTTGTGGACTAAATGTGTATTTATACACCACAAGTTCAGATTCAAACATTTGTAGACCTTTGTTGAGGATTTTTTGCTAGATTTTTGCTAGATAAACGTAATCTGAAGATCAGCAGTCAGTAGAAAATCTTATGATGGTACTGGTAGACTTTGCGCTCAATAAGTATTCATGTCCTCAGTGCTCCTGGAAAAGAGGGAACCTTTATTTTGAAATTTGTTATACATATTAGATATTGTCAACAAAAAAAAGGAGCATTAGCAATCGGGTCTACAAATAACATCATCAGGATGCTGTTTTGGAAGTCTTATTGTCTTGCTCCTGTGCTCACTGATCTTTCTTTAAAAGGGAGAATAAAACAGGGCTGTTATTTTTAATGAGGAGTAATGTGGGAAAGAGATGTGCTTTTGTTCTTTTAATGACTGGAAAACTAGCTCAGTAAAAAGAAATTTGACCCACCTGATGGAGAGGAATACGTATTGCATGGATTTCTTGGCAAGGCCTAGAGCTAGGAGTAAGAGCATTTATGAAAACCCTTTTCCTTTTCCCCTTGTAAAACTCTGGGAGACATGTGAAATGCTAGTGAGAGGGCCAGCACGTTAGCATGAGTAGTACTCTGTGAAAAGCGATACTGGTATACCTGCTGACTACTTTCTCTCATCTTTTGAAGGTCACCTGGAAGTTGTTGCCTTACTGATTAATCATGGTGCAGAGGTGACTTGTAAAGACAAGAAGGGTTACACCCCGCTTCATGCAGCTGCATCCAATGGGCAGATTAACATTGTGAAACACCTCCTTAACCTGGGAGTAGAGGTACGTGTTTCTCTGTATTCAAAGATAATATTTTTCTCTTATGGATGCTGCTACATCAGTGAAGCTTCTAAAGAAAGTAGTTCCTGTTTTCTGGACTGTGAAAAGCACCTTATACTTTGTGTAGATTGTTGGTTTAAGAGCCAGGAAACATTCTGGAATGAAAGTGTCTGATATGGACACTAAATTCCAGGTTACCTTGCTGGGGGATTAGGGAAATATATGCTGTTTTTGTAGAGAATGGTGGAATAATGAAGTCTCCCTTGGCCTGGCATTCCTTTCGGTATGGTGAGAGGAGATTCAGAGTACATACATGAAATACTTTACTACATTTCAGCCTGTTTAAATTTCAGGTTGTGTATTTCCTGCGTTAGCTAGTGGAAGGAAGGGGAAGAATTATTTTCACTTGGGAAAAGATGTTTATTTCAGGGTACAGACTTCTCCTAGACTAATATTGTCAACTCAGTGGTCCAAAGCAGCAGTGAAATGACCAGAAGAGTCTGTGCTGGTTGTCGATCAAAGATACTGAATCAATTCATTGTATTTGCTAGCTGTGTAGCCAGCTGACGTGACCTGCCAAAAAAATGTCAGAAGTCTGTGTCAAATGTGAATAGGTGTTTTCCATTATTAGCAGTACCATGCTGGTAGTGACACTGAAGTTTCACATTCTCCACAGAGATAGGATCTTCGAGATCTTTTTTGTAGAAGTGTACTCACAACATGCCCGAGTGTTGTGTGCAACCTGCCTCGCCCTGCTTTATAGAACAGCAGTTGAATTCTAAGCCAACGATCAAGAAGTAATGTAATCTTAATTACATCTTCATAATACTGAACTGCTGAAAGTGGTTTCTTTATTGAAATGTGAATGGCTGTGCAATTTCTCCATCCATTCCCTAAGACACTTGCCCAACCTAAAAGGAATCTCTGGAAAGAGATTGGAAGCCTGATTCTACTCACAAAAGTCAATAGAGTGTATTGTTATTATTGTTATTATTTTAAAGACTAAGCTTTTTATTTATCTTTCTTTCCCATTTTTATATTAAAAAGCTTCTAACTTATTAGGATTTTTATCATCATCATTACATAGTCCTGCTATCAGCTTTAAGCTTTAGAGTGGCTTTTAGAAATTGCCAGTAGGATAAGAAGTTAATGATAATGAAGGTAAAGCATTCTGACTTAAGCTCTCTGGGAGTATTTTTTTTTTGTCAGTGAAATTTGCTGGTGAGAAATATGCCCTATGACAGTTCAAGCCTCTGGCTATTTCCATTTGCAGTACGTGATGCAATATGTAAAATGATAAGCTGATGTGTCTCCTTGTCTCGTTTTAGATTGATGAAATGAACATCTATGGAAATACTGCGCTTCATATTGCCTGTTACAATGGTCAGGATTCTGTTGTTAATGAGCTGATTGACTATGGTGCTAATGTAAATCAGCCCAATAATAATGGATTCACTCCCTTGCATTTTGCTGCTGCCTCCACTCATGGAGCACTGTGTCTTGAACTGCTAGTGAATAATGGGGCAGATGTTAACATTCAGGTAAAACTTGCATTTTACCTCTTCAATTTTACTTTATCCTATTTTGCATACCTTTAGAGTCTGGAAACTGCAGCAATGAGTACAGCAAGTCTTTAAGTTCTTAATAGAATTAGAGTGATGCTGAGAATGCCAATCATTAAACCATTTGTATGAGATTAACTTCTAGCAGAGGAGCATTCAGTGCCTTTATAAATGTAATAGCAGCCTTAAACTCTGGGCAAGCCACTCTACTGAAACCACAGCTAAAGTTTAGTCTCAGGAGCTCCGTCAAAATGTTGACTTGGGCAATGGTAATAAGTCAAGGAAACATTTCTTTCTGGTGTTTTCCTTCCTCCTGCAATATGGATTTAATTAAATCTGATTCTAACCAAGTTTCTTTAGACTTTCCTGGGTAAATAAAACCTCAAGGTTATTTGTTTACACATTTTAAAACCTGGTTTTACAAAGTCTGATTCTGTTTTGGTTATCTGGATGCTTCTTGAAAGGTACATGGGTACATATACCTTGATGAACCTGAAATGGACTTGCTAGAAGACAAGATCTCTAAGTTCAAATAAGACTTTGGCTACTTTACTTTAAATTGTGCATGTTCCAGTTTCTCATCTGTAAAAGCGGTCTCCTAGCATGTAGTAATTGTGGCTGGTCCCTTGAGATCAGTGGACAGTCAGTGTACTATTTAAACTCAGAATTATTGAGGTGAAATTAGATATTGTGCTTGCCAGTGAGTGCAAAACTCAATGCCAACAAAAATGAAATGATGTGAGTAGTGAGGCAACTGTCGCTCGCTATTTTCTCAGCTCCTCAGCTTTCCCAAACTCAGTTTCGGTCTCTAGATCCAAAACATTGATCTCAGCCCATTGTAGCTTTCCTTGTATACTCACTTCTTATTTTCTGTTTGTCTTCTGTAGACATCTTGTTTTTGATTAAGTTGACAGAACTTCTGTTCTAGGATATATCTACAAAATTGCAGATTGAAACATCAGTTATATTCCTTGCATTTCTGTGACTGCTCCTGCTTAGCTTTGTGGTTCATTTTTTAAAAATTCTTCTTGCTGCAAAGAGTAAGGAAAAAAAAATGACTAAATGGGAGATGGCATGGTCACACTGAAGAGTGATACGTTATGCACTTGGAAGTTTCTACCAAACATTGCATATGGCCAGGCTCTGAGGATAGGCTGTAGCTCAGATCATTTCCTGACCACTGCTGAGGAGCTGCTTTGTGTGTATGTTCGTACCTTTTGCATTTATTATGACATGAAGATTCAGGCCTCTAGTCTTTGGAAGCCATTGGAACTTTTATGTGAAGAATAGCTGTAGGATGTTGAATTGAGAGACTTCAAGTTGTTACCTCTTCTTTTCATGCTGGATGATTGCTTTTACGTTTTGTTTATTAGAGTAAGGATGGGAAGAGCCCACTGCACATGACAGCTGTCCACGGGAGGTTCACACGGTCACAGACCCTCATTCAGAATGGTGAGTTTCAATGTCTGTTCAATAACTCTCTCAAAGAGTAGGCATTTCTTGGGTTGGAATTTTTGGTTTTCTGACCCAGAATGCCAAAGAACTTCTCTGAATGGTGTTCAGCTCTGCATCAAATTCTGAGTATGAGCTGCGTTTGCAGGTCTCCTTTTACAGTGTCACCATAAGCGGCAACTCTTAGTTCTAAACAAAATCCAGTCTTCCTCTAGCTGACGATGAAACAACTGATCTTTTGTGATCAGCAGTTTTGTCAACCTGCTAATAAGAGTTAAGAGCTCTATTTAGGATATTTCATATGATGAGAGGAAGGCACAGCTAACTTTCTCAAATGATTAAAAGAGTAAAAAGTTCTGGTTATCCTCCCTTGAGAGCTGTGGTGCTTTTAGAGCCCACGCTGTTTTCTCTATGCCACCACTCAACAGCTGTACTTCTCTTACCTCCCTTACCTGCACATCTTATCACTGTCTTCACTAAGTGCTGAATAAATACCCTGCAGGGTGGACCAGCACCACTTTGTTTATTTTGGCATAGCCAAGAGTAGATTCCAGAGCTTGTAATTACCTGTCACACTCATTAAATATCCCTTTTGCCTAAAAATACTAGAGCATATAGCGAATATTACTGTTGGAGATCTGACAGAGGCCTGCCTTCTGACTAACAGAGGCTGCTAATACCGATTGTTTACTTGCACTTTTTTGGTCATTATACTGCACAGGACAGTCTGTTTTCTTTTATTTGTTTCTGTTTTCCTCTTTCTTTGCTTAACTACAATCCCAAAGTTGGAATCTCATCTAACTGCAGTATCTCTGTTCCAGCATTTTGCTAGCCTTTACTTACCATCAGAAAATTCCTCATAGCATTTCACTAGAACTTTTCTTGCTGTAGTTATGGCCTGTTATCTCATTTGCATAGTGGAAATGCAGTAAATATTACCATATCCTCATTTTAGCAAGACTTTTACCTGATTTCACAAAGTATTCTCACAGAAAACTAATGAAATATGGTCTAAATGAAAATATTGTTGTGTAGGTGCATAACAGCTAGAAAAACTACACTCGGACATTAGTAATAATAAATGGATCACTGTTGACATAGAAGGTATAATGAGATCTTTCAGCCTCCCTCCTGGGTCTGGTATACTATCCAGTATTTTTGTTAACAGCTTGGATGATGGAATATGAAGTGTGCTTTTAATATTCAGAGAAAACATGAAGTTAGGAGAGACTGTTTTTCCGGCAGAAGCTGGAGTTGAAAATGAGCCCTTAAAATTGGGGAAAAGTTGTGATGAAAGTAATGCAAAGGAGAGATACAACACAGGCAAGGATATCAGTTAAATAAATACAGAATGGCAAAAGCTGAGTGGGTGACATTTCCTCAAGAAAGGATTTGGTGTTTGCAGAGGATCGGAAACCAAATGCGTGTCAACAATGCTGTGGTGTTGCCAAGAAGAAAAGTAGAGGAAAAAAGCATAAAGGTACAGGAGTGTGTAGATAGGAGCATAGCCAGCAGGCATGAAGTAATCCTTTTGCTCAGCGTTGGTAGACATCAGCTGTAGTACTGTTTCTGGCTTTTGACATTTTCCTTTCAGAAGGATGTGGGCCAGCTGGAAGAGAACTGGGGGAAGGACAAGGATGGTTGAATTACAGCAAACCTAATTTACAAAGAGAGACTGAAAGAGCAAAAGTTGCTCAATCCAAAAACGAAAGCAGGGACTTGATAGCAATCTTTGCATGCATCAAAAGCTGTAGCAGAGAAGAAAGAAACAATCAGTTTTTCCTGTTTGAGGATAAAACATGAGATGACAGGCATAAACTGCAACAGGAAAAGGTCTATGTAAGCACTGTGTAGCAGTTTCTAATGATTAAATGTTAGTCATATGTCATCGTGCTCACTGCCTGTTCCCCACCATGCTTCCCCACTGAAGCTGGATAAAGAGTTGAGAGCACTGCTGTTGAACCATGGTCGGTACCACAGCTGACAGCTGATGGCTCACTGTGTACCGATCTCATTCTTTGAAATTCAGTGGCTTGATTTTGCTGCATTCACTGGGGAGAAATAGCATTTGTAGGCACAGGTTCAGACTTAATCTTTGGGTATTAGACTGTCTGAAAATATTTTTTGCAGGAGGAGAAATCGACTGTGTTGATAAGGATGGTAACACCCCGTTGCACGTGGCTGCAAGATATGGACACGAGCTATTGATTAACACCCTCATAACTAGCGGAGCTGATACTGCCAAGTAGGTGGCTGCAGGGGAGCTTCCAGTGATCTAATGCTATGTCTGGTGCCGGGAAACATAGGTATTGCTCAGCTTCTGAGGTGAAGATGGATAAATGCATTAGCTCTACACTTCACTAAAATATTAAATGATTGGGCAGGTGGAAAGGAAGAAACCATGCTAAGCTCTTACTTTGCACAGTTATATGGTTGCAAGTAGTACCAGTACTGCTTATTTTTCTGAAGGGTTATCGATACAGGGTGTATATAAAAGTGCATCTTGATCACAGTTAGTCCATAAAGTCCCTAGCAAAAACTTTGTCTAAGAAACATAATTGGAAAAATTTCAAATACTTTCCAAGGGAATTATGTCCATGTTCCATAGCATTTAAATTGGTGTTATAATGGCATGTTACATGCAGTGACAATTCTGTTATCTTGTGTCTTTTGATGAGACAAAGGATAATCAATAGAATTGCAGTACTACAAAGCAGATGTTACTAAGCCTGAGCTCAGTATAAATTTAGATCCTGTGTTGATTTTGGTAGCCACATGACTGAAATAGTAGGACAGGTGTTTTTTTTTCTGATTCGTGATTTTAGGGCTTTTTTTAATGAATAATGGGACAAGAGGTTGATAATCGGACACAGATTGCTAGTGTCTAAATCAGGGTATACTATTGCTAGCTTTTTCTCTGGTACAGTAAACTTCAATCTGCCTCTTTTCTTGAGGTTTGATGTAAAATGAGCTGCAGTGGAGTAGCATGCTCTCGGACTTAAGGTTATCCAACTCAAAATTTCTGTATTCCACTCAAGTGCCTGGAACACTGATAAAATGAATTGCTTCTTCCAGCAACAAAAATGAGTGAAATAAGAATTTGTCTCAGAAATCCCTGGCAGGTCCAAGTGATGCTCAGCCAGGAGCACTGAAACACTAGGAGTGAGCTTTTGTATGCACTGCATGTAAATAGCTCTAGCTGAGCTCCCCAAACTGGTTTTGAAAAAGAAAACTTCACAACATTGCTAGCAACAACTGCAGACAGCTCAGTCAATCTTTGAGGCAGTTGTGTTTTAAGGTGAAGGTATGTAAGAGGTGGGAGGAACCACTGTGAACAGTGCTGTTGAAGCATGGCTGGTTAGCAGATGTGCAGATGGTGTATTTCGATGGAAACCAGCCAAAACACGTGCTGGGTGGAAATCTTGACCTAAAAGATGAAAAATATTGCTTGAGATAAAACTACGTGGAGGAGGAGATGGAGGGAAATGGGTGTAGGAAGAAACATGGCAAGACAGAGTGTCCAGTGTTGGCTTAAATAAATGACTCCACAGTTAAAAAAGAATTGCAGCCTGTTTATACAGATGCATCAGCTCAGTGGAGCTTGTGCTGTTTCCTTTAAAAGAACAGACTGCCAGATCATTTTTAAAGAGATTGACTCTAAAATGTAGATGGTGAACACTGGCAAAATTAAAATGTGTGTAGCGCCCCTTTTTGCTCCTTAGTGTAGAAAAGCACCAAGGAAGACAAATTTAATGTGAAGACAGAGGAAGGATGGAACTGTGGCTTCTGAAAAGAATGATGTTTTTGAAAATAAATCAGTATTGGTTAAATACGTATGTGTAAAACATTGGTGAGAATGAGACAGCTTTATTAACATTCACACTTCTTTGTTTAAAGTATCATTAGTAATTATGATTTATGGTGAGCCTTAAAGGAAAAAAGGTTAGTTTGTCTTTTGTCCATATCTAAAATCTTCCGTGAGGCGATGGTGCTTTCCATCCGCCAACTGTATTCTCAATAGGAATCCATCTGCTGTTGTTCAAGTGTTTGTCATGTTCCAAAAATGTATCTGCTGAAGCAGGCGCTAGATTATAATCTTGGTGAGATGGTTGGTTTAAGGTTCCGTGTTTGTATGCGCTTGGAGGACTGCCTGCAATAGCATTTCTAGAATAACTGTATACTTTGCACAGAACACGGCGCTAAGTGGCAGAAGCCAAGATGCCTAAGCTAAGAAATCTTCTAAGATGGTGAATGGTGGCATGTTCAGGAGCTGAGCTGGGATGATTCGTGGGTGCCAGTAACAGCTGCTGAGTGCTCAGCTTGTTGAAAAATGAATGTGACTGCCTGATACAGATTTAGCTTAGTGATAGGTGTCTGCTTTTTTGTTTTGCTTTGGTTTTCTTTGTTTGACCCAATATGTCTGCTCTGAGGAGTTTATATGTAGTTGAAAGGAGGGTCATGTATGCAAAGGGAAGGGAGAGTGAAAGAATGTGTAGGGACAGTAGCTGGAGCAAACAGGGTTAGATGATCAGTTGTTTGGGTGTGGGAGGAAAACCTAAGTGTCACAGCGCTCTAAAGGAAAGCATGAAGAGAAGTCATGTGGTGCTCCAGCCCTGTGGTGAGGGAAGAAAAGGAAGCTTTTGAAAACCCAAGTGGGAGTTATCTAAAGCAAGATAACAACTGTACAAATGGGTTCCAGAAATAATGCAGAGAAGCTTTTGGTATTTACTTTTACCCTCAGAGTGCCATTGCAATATATGTAGCTGATGAACAAATCTATGTATCCCCCACTGGGAGATTGACTCTGCTCCCTCACTATCCCCCTTACAGAAGCTTTCATTTCACATTTTTAGAAACCTTCCTCCTGCATTCTGTTCAAAGCATAGTGCCAAGATTTTTCTGTATCAGAATTAATTTTAACTCCTGAGTGGGATAGTAAGGAAACAGAGATAAAATTAGCAAGGCAGGATCAAAAATGCGGCCTCTTTGGAAGGACCTTTTCACGTGCAGTGTTTGTATGCCACCTGTATTTTTACGAGACCCTATCTCATGAGGCTGTTGTGCCTTTCAGGTGTGGGATCCACAACATGTTTCCTCTGCACCTTGCAGCATTGAATGCACACTCAGATTGCTGTAGGAAATTGTTGTCCTCGGGTAAGTAAATGTAGCAGTGTCGGTGGACTCAGTAATGTATCTGTGCAGCTTACAGCCCCTTTATGCTCTTTGTTGTGAACTGTTGAAATGAAAGACTTCCTGTGCTGCTGCCTGGTGTGGTGTACTGCGTGCACAGGGTTTTCCTAATGACATGCTGGTAATTCTTTGCATCCTGGATTGTTCATGCACAAAGCCCTTTTTTCCTGGCAGACACAGAGTTTTTATACTGGGGAGAAGGAGAAAGCTTGGGACCCTTTTCTAAATTATAGGAGTATAAGTGTCAGTTTTGTTCTTTTCATTTTGTTCACAATGAAATGCCTCAAGAAATTACCTCCTTGTGCAAGTGCAGGCTTCAAGTTTTGGCATCTTACTGATAATGGTGTATCTTAGTTACAGCTAAAGTGTGTTTCACAGTCTGATCAGAGTATAGGAGTGAGGCTGGCCAGAATTCGATGTGCACAAGAGGGGAAGCTTAGTGAAGGTGCCATGTCTGAAGAACAGTCCTGGGTTCTTCATCAGAGCCCAATGCAAAAACAGCAGGAGTTTGCTGACCCAACTGTATTAAAAGAGGCAGTTATCAGAGGCCAAATCTCTTTTTTTTCCAGGCAAGAGTTCATCTGTGTTAAAAATAAATAAATGAATAGGTAAAACAAAAACCCATCTAAAAACAGGGCAGATCATTTTCTTTCCTAAAAAAATAAGAAATAAAAAATTGTTTCATTGCTTATTGTACAAAATGTCCTACAGCTACTTTTTTTTTTCCCCATAACTATGAGTCCTGTAGAGTGTAAAAAAGATGTGAAAAATACTAATTATATACCCTTTACTGGTATACTTTGACCTTGACCACCAGATCAGGAAGGAGAACAAAACCTCTGGGTGACCACAGTTACCACTGCCATGCTTTATCTTGGGCCTTGTGCGTCTTTATGACTATCCCTGCATGCTCCTGGAAGCCTCTTTCCAAAAACTAAAGCCGGTCTAAAAACCACACACACTAGAATTGGCCCTGTTTCGTGTTCAGGCTGACTCTGTGGTTTTTCTTATTTCTTCATGTTTTCTGTCTTCATGTCCTGCTGTCGCAGTTCTCTCAGCTATCTGCCTCCTGCCTGCCACATGCTTTTCAGTAGGGATGTGGTGCAGAGCTGGATGCAGAACTAAATTCTCGTTGACTTTGCAGCCCTTTTTATAGAGCTGCCAAAGTGGAGCAGTCGCTCGCCATTTCTGTGACAACCTTTTTCTGACTGTAGCTGCTTGTGTTCTGTTTTTTTTCCAACTAACTGATTTTTCTGTCTCTGCAATGTTTCTTGTGGTTTAACTAGGACAAAAGTATAGCATAGTGTCCTTGTTTAGTAATGAGCACGTGCTGTCTGCAGGCTTTGAAATAGACACCCCTGATAGTTTTGGAAGAACGTGCCTCCACGCTGCCGCTGCAGGAGGGTGAGTAATTGTGACTACAGAATATACACAGACCAACTGTTACAAGTTATTTTGTAGTTCCATTGCAGATTTGGGGCATACCAATTCAGCTGTGCCAGCCAGAAATGTCAAATTTGGGTCATCTGGGATGGTATTTTGCCACTGTCCTCATGCTCATGTTGCTTGCTTGTAAAACAAAGAAAATGGTCTGATCTCCACAACAAACAACTGGCTTGTGATTGAAGCGTGAATTTCAGACACAGAGTGAAACTTCCTTCTCACGTCCCTGTGAAAACTGCTTCAGTTTGGGTAGGAGTGCTGCGTACTCACCCAGATCAGTGTATTGGCCATGGTTGTTGGTGAGGGCTGTCAGTCAGTAGGAAACTGTCAGCTCCTAAAGCAAAATGTGGAGTAAGGAGGAGGTGTGGCTCCTGAGATGCTGCTGGCGCAGTTGTTGCCAGCCTCCTCATCTGGGCTGCATTCTTGCCTGTAAACACGAGCATGCACTTACGTTTGCTGCCTTGTACTTGAGCATGCATCCTTGGAGTCCAAATGCAGCTCATCTCCCTCCCAATTCTCAGAGCAAGTTTGAAAATGAAATTAAAAAGCCCCACCAAATTAGAAAGCTAAGATTGCTATCCTTTCAGGATGATGTATTTCTGCCCAGAGCCTGGGAATGAAAACAAATGAAAGCTGAAATGTATCAATTTATGTCGTAAATATAGCATCCAGTCAGTTATATATTTCCAAATTATTGTCAGTGGAGCACTGTGAAATAGCAAATGCACAAAACGTTTGGCAAACACTGAGTTTTGACTCTTCTGCTGAGGACTTTATGGCTCAGAAAACATCTGAAATGGAGCCTTGGTTAGAACCACCTTGGATTCTCTGGGATGATAGCAAGCAGAAATGGTCATCTGTAGTGCATACTTGGCAGTCTTTCTGGAAGTTGTTTTTCTTCCTGGTGTATTAAAAGGCATATATCACAAAATTGTTGTTATTACAAACACCTAATGAAATAGATCCTAATGCTGGTTGTATTATTTTTATGGCATTATTCTTGTTGATACTTGTCTTCTGTTAATTAATGAAGGAGGTGTGAGCCTTGCTTTGATGGGGATTCTTATAGTACATTGCAGATACTACCCCTTTGATAAGGCTGCACCCAAAAGAATAATAAAAACCATCTGAAAGTCCAAAAGAGAGCGAAGAAGAAATTTCATATGAAGCAAAAGTGGCTTATGAAAATAAGCTGTATATTTCCAGTGGCTTACTACAATTGTCATCACTAACAAATGTTTCTATTTTTAGTGTGTTGTGATGAGTGTTTTGCAGTTATTTTATGGAATAGCAATTTTGAGTAGGGATGAACTTATGCCAACATTCTGACATTCTGCATCCAGTCTTTTTTTTTTTTTCTTGGAGTTGGAACTATGCAAATAACATTGTTTTTTTCCTTGCACGTACCTGTTACTCCCATTACATTAATGGGAGTTGTATGGGCTTGAGGAAAAGGACATACTTTAAGGCTTGCTCATTTTGATTGTGAACAGAATGATTTATTGCCCCTGTTAATGACAAAGAAGTCTTGGAAAGTGCTATGCTTCTTTATGTTGTTTTCTAGCTTGGAGTCATACATTTACTCTCTTGAACTACAAAATAGATGAGTATTCAGCTATTATATTTTTGTATTAAAACTCACCTGGCTTTAAATGAGATGAAGTTAGGATGTGGTGAATTCTTTCAACAGATTAAAGAAGAGAAAAGCAATGGAGCCTAACTCATCTGCTTATATAAAAGCAATGTTAATGTGATAATCATTTTAGATAGTTAAGGCTTCTTATTCAGCAAAGTACATAAATGCATGCTTAAATCTATCAATTACCAACAAATGATTCGAGAATAAACCTAAAAGTAACTCTGTGTGGAATCTCACTGAAGTAAACAGGATTTTAGCACACCATTGCAGCTTTGCAAGAGGGGGTGGATTTCGTTAAATGTCACCTCTTCATTATTAGACTGGCATTTTATCAGCTAGCACCAACTTTAAAAGTCTTCTCATAAAATACCATTCCAGCGTGGGAAGCGTTAGAATGCAGCCCCCTTTGAAAATCTCCAGATGCAATGAATTCAAATCATATTTACTGCTTTTTCTTCAGAACATTAATTTTTCTTCTGCAGAAGTCCGAGGTTTTCTAGAAACAAAGGAAATAATTTCTGAAACTTCACTTTCTGTTTGCTGTGACTGGATTTCAGGTTGTAGTTATCCATATCCTGATTTTGCACTGCAAATAGTTTAAAAAAAAACAAAAACAAAACTTTGTCCTTTTGGAGGGAGGGAGGCAACCAAGATGTAAGCTTCTGCTTTGTTCATGCTTTGGTTTTCTTCTCTTTTCAGTAATGTTGAATGTATAAAACTCTTGCAAAGCAGTGGAGCAGATTTTAATAAGAAGGACAAACGTGGGAGGTATGTAAATACTGAAACTCACTTTAAAAAAAAAAAGAAATCTAGCAGGCAAGGGTGAAAGACTGCCTCAGTCTGGATATCATGTGTTCCATGAACAATGGCAGTAAAATAAAGTAGGAGTTTGACATTCCCTGCAAAGCTGCTGCTACAGTTATATGCCAAACAAACAGGTGCAGACTTCATTAAATACGTAAAAGCCATCCCATCCTCTTGAGCTTTCTGTTTTAAAAATACCACTGAATTTTTTTTTCCTTATTGCTTTTCTTATTGCCTGAATTCTTGTGCTTTTGTGCCCAAATCAGCACCTGGGTTATGATGGGAAGGACTGCTGCTATTTGATGTGCTTCCTACCCTTTTACGGTTTTTTTTACTGTTTTCTCCTCCATATGAAGTGTTGTTAAGAGTGTTGCTATGCCAGAAATGGGTTTCACTCTTTGATTGCTGCAGAATATCTGGTGTTTTGTTCTGTGTTTTTCAACAAGGCAGATGTTTTCCAAACCAGGTTCCCCAAAGCCTACTGGTGGAATTGGAAAGGGAGAAGAGCTATAGCTGACTTAATGGCACTATTTGGTTTGGCACATTGTGTCTTGTGTGGCAGCAGACTGTGCCATGACACACTGATAGATCTGCAGCCATAGTGGATATGGTATTATCTACCCTCAGCTGTAGCAATGAGGCACATGCTTGGGTTTCCTGCTTCTTATGAAGCTGTAAACCATGGTGGATGTATGCACAGTTGCTTTAGATCAGTAAGGTGATTCACATTAAATGGCTGATGATAGTAGCTCTGTTTGAACTGAAGACACTGCAGAAATTCTCCTTAACTACTGCTGGGATGTCTGGTTCTTTGGAGGAAACACAGTAAAAGCCACAGGTGCTTCAGAGGCCGATGAACTCTTTTGGAGGATTTATGGCTTTGTCATTATGCTAGCATAAAGGAACTAGGATTGAAAGGGTCCAGCGTGGCTCAAGCACTGTGGGCAGTATTCCATGGTAGAGAGACAGCAGTGATTATCATTCACATCCTCTGAATATACCTGGTAGAAGTGTGTCAGATATGTCAATAAAAATTACTGTGTTCTTCTGTGAAGCAGAGCTGTCCTTGATTTTTTGTTTGTTTGTTTTTTACAACCTCCACCAAAATAAAAGTAGATTGTTTTAGGGGACAAATGAATTTAAACTAGTGGAGCATTTTTGTGTAGCCGATAGAGCCCTTGCAAGTTTCAGCCCAGCTGGCAGTTGTCCTGATGATTCGAGCTCTCTCTGAGTAACATCTGGCCTTTGAAGTGAGTGTGCTGAGCTTCCCTGCACAATGGATCTCTTCTTGGGCTTTGGAATTCGTCAGCGATGGGATCCCCCACATCTCCGTCCACCTCTGGTGCTGCTGAGCCTGCCCACGCTGAGCTGATTTTGGAGCTGAATCCCAACTGTGGTTTCTTTGTCTGGAGTGCTGTTGCCTCTGTGGGCTGATGCTGAGCAGCTGGAGTGAGCAGAACCAAAGCAAGGAGCTGGGTTTGGCAGAGGTGCTGAGGCTCACATCGCCAGTGCTGCTGAGGGGTGCTGTACAGCAGGTAGATTATCAGGCTGCAGTGAAACCAAAGCTTTTAAAGCTTTGACTGTGTGTGTGCTCTTAATAAAAAAAAAAAAATAAATGCATGATATTACTATGCAAGTTAGGCTTAAAAAAGAAGTTCATATATGTGTTATTTTAAAAAAAGAAAGGCAACTGTAAGAGAGGGAATAACAAAGCCTCAGTTACTCTGTTCAGTTGGTATGGCTCTGAGAGCTATAGCAGTTCCCACTAATCAAGGTGCTGTGAGGGCTGTCCTGCTCTGCCCTGACTCCCAGCTGAAGCAATGTAGTGTGAATGCAGAGCAGTAGCAGAGGCTTTTGCTGGGAGCAGTTTGCTTGCAAGATGCAGAATGTATGCAGATCTGTATGCTCTTAAGCTTGGTAGGAGTATCAAAACTTCCTAGTAAGACAGTAATTTGTTAAATTTGCATAACTTTGAATTTCATCATGGTAATGTAAGGTGCTGATTTTGACTGCTGGAAGTCTGTAGGAATGCAGCGGTAGTTAAGGTTTATTGTTATCCTTAGCAGTGTGTTGGAATACAAGGTAACAAACTGTCCCTTTTGTTCTAGGACACCTTTGCACTACGCAGCTGCAAATTGTCATTTCCACTGTATTGAGACACTGGTGACCACAGGAGCCAATATTAATGAAACTGATGAGTGGGGACGCACCCCTTTGCACTATGCTGCTGCTTCTGACATGGACCGAAAGTAAGAGAGCCTGTTTGTGTTCCTTGTTCAGTGTTTTTCCAAATCAAACGTTCTATTCTCATCATGACTGTGCCATTTGAACCAAAAAAATGAGCCGGCTGGCACAGGAATTTCTCTCAGGTGTATACATTAACTCCACACTGAACTGCTGTGCCTGTAACCTGGATCCTCAGGTGATGTGGCACCTCAGCCCTGCAGTTTATCTTTGAAGTAACACATGATTTTACAGCCCCTCTGTCCTAATGAACTATTTTTGCTACATACTGTCTTTCTTCTTCTGTGTGGTTTCCTCACAAGGGAAAGCTCAGGGAGTTTTGTGTCTGCTTTCCAAGTCCATCAGAAGGAATGGAAAAAGAGACAGTAGAAGGAGTTTTCCCAGGTGGACTGCAGTGATAGTTGGCCATTCTGATAGACTTTCTGGCAAAAGCAAGATAGATCTACCCATCACTCTCTCCACTGTCAGAGCTAATAAAAACTCTTACCTTTTCCAAATAGGTTGCTTTCTAGAGACTAAAGAGAGAGAGAGGCCTGGGGAATATCCTTTGGCAGAATGCAGAACTGTTCTTCTGAGAAAAGTTTGGAAGGGGAAAACAGCTGCAAAACTTAAATATCTGGAGGTTACTGAATAGAGTTTCTGCATATTTTGGCAATCTCTTTTCTATAACATACTGCATGAAACAGCCTCAGTTATCCTGTTAGTTGTCTCTTAAAACTGATAGGGACTCTTCAGACTCTCAGGAACTATTTTCCTGGTTTCTTATATAGCGAGGTCTGGTTAGAAGGAGCGCACAAAAACCAAACTGAAACATAAAAAGTATGGCTTATTCCCAGAAGAATACCACCCCAAAAGCACTTTTGGAAGACTTTTCCCTAAGCTCATAGCAGAGGTTTGGATACCATAGGTGTACGTCAGTAGCTTCTTCGCCATTTGCTTCTTTTGCTGTGGTAATACTGGTATCAAAAATGTCTGCCCTGTCAATGTAAAACCAGAATGGTACCGGTAAGAAGGCATCAGGATCTTCAGAGGACTGTTCTTGGCGTTGCAAGCTGAATAGGCTTGTATGAAGGCTTTCACCATTGGCTGTTTCTAATTAAAGCTTGCCAGGGTGTGATGTTCCCTGGGGTGTTGAGAATTGTGATTCAGTATGCATTTTCAGCTTTTGACTATTTATAGGTTATGCTCCTGCATTTAAGCAATCTTTTGGCTAACTTTAGGGTACCGTTGCTTCCAATGATAACTTTAAATTTAATAAATAAATAAATACAAACCTTAGTTTAGTGAGACTCTGAGCATTGGTAGGAATGTTTGGCCACCTTTGCCCTCAGAGTCTAAACCTAAATTGATTCTGATGTTGTCTTCTCATTAAATTTTCCTGTTGGAGATGTTTTGGAAGAAGCCTTGTTAGATGTTATTTACAGTCCATGATTTTGTAGGTCAGCATATTTATTTTTTTCTGCTGAACAATGGCAAACTCCAAGTTGGACAATCTTTGTCCAAAGGTTATTCAAAATCATTTAACTTTGAATGTGGGCAGTTAATGATCAGAGAGAAGTCTTTGTGCAACCAGATTGTCCAATGCTTCAGCTGATTTGGTAAGTGTTGTTGCTTATGGATTTCAGAAAAAACTCCTTTCAAATATTCAAGTTTATGAGGATGTATTGTTTTTCCTGATGATAGCTTACTCTGTTCAGGGAATGTTATATTGGGATCTCACTAATTTATTGTTAGCAGAAAGTAAATGTGGGTATGGCTTTCACTTGCTATGTGAGCAGTTTGAAAATATGCTCAGTAGAGTTACTTCCAATGGCTTTTCTGAGGTTGAGTGTCTTGCTTCAACATGGTACATCAGTACTGTCTACATGTTTACAATATTAGGATTTTTTTAATTGATAAATAAGATTTCTTTTTGAGTTAGTGAACATCAAACAAAACAGACCTCAGATTTGTGGAGCAGCCTCTTACTGTAAGCATCCACAGAAAGAAAGTCAAATCTTGGAAATACATGTGGGAAATGACCTGATAAGGAAAAGATGTATTATTCTGCATTGTGCAAAACTCAGTCTGGAATACGTGTGTTATATAGGGATTGAATTTAGCAAACTGTCCTTCATACCTTCCAAGGTACTGATCTGTAATGGTACTTAGCAATTGGGAAGCATGCATTCTGTGTTGGCCTTGGTGCCCAAGGAAAGTCATAATCACAGGCTCATGCACATAAGCTCACAGATCACAATCTTCTGGCTGCCATCCATCCAGCTGGGAAACAGAGATGCCAAAAATGATCCGGATGTGCAGGAGTACGAAGACATGCTAAGCAATTTTGAAGAATCCAAAGAATCTGACCAGACATCTGGGAATCCGAGATATCTCACAGCGCTGCCAAGACATTTCACAGAAAGTGAGAAGAGTCAGCAACACAGCTAAAGCTGATTAAAGATAGACTAATTCAGTATTAGTGACTAAACAGTTCCTGATAGAACCAGAATTCTCTGGTGGCTTTTTTGCTTGACACTCACTTGGAAGATGATAAACTTCCATGCTGTTGTTGTCTGTGTTGTTTGCAAAATGTATTATCTGCAGATCCAGGTAGTACGCTCACTAAGCTTATGTAACTTTTTACTTTTGGAAGAGGTCAACTCCATGCGAAGGAGATTGGGGATGGGTAGCACACTGCATCAAAATCACTCATATTTTGAAAATAAGTTGCATTTTTCTGTCATTTATGTCAAGAAGAAAGAATATTTTAGGTAACTCCCATGAAAATGCTGAAGAACTTGAAAGAACCAGTGAAATGAAGGAAAAAGAAGCTGCATTGTAAGTGGTGTCAGTAAAGAAGTTAAACTTCATTTCTGGAGAAAGCCATTGCTTTGCACTACAGCTTACATCCTGCTTTTGCTCATTCATTGCTTTGCTAGACACGATGCTTGGCTTTAATGGGAGCTAACATGAGGAAAAAAAGCTCTGCGCTCTCTTTTATGTGCACATTCCCTAATATTTCTGCTTCTGTGCTTGTTGGGCTTCCTTAATGGAAAATAAACAGCTTCAATAATTTAATAATTCATCAGGAACATGTGCTGCTTTATTTTAATACTTTGCATTGAGTATGTATGTTGCAAAGATAAGTTAGCTAACGGCTGCTTCAGTGTATTTGCTTGGACTAGCATTTTCATATAGCTGCATATTGATTATTTCTCATTTTAAATATCCACTTTTTTGTATGATGGCTTATAGTCACTAACAATTACAAGTTACTGAAGAACATAATAATGACAAGATGATGATTTCTTGGCAGTGTAAGAAAAAATGATAGGAGCTGAGAAGAAAATATGGGATCTTTTGGAAAAAATGATTTGAAAAATGCTGGGAAAGAAGACAATATATTTATATACATACATGCTGGGAAATTACCTCAGTAAAATCCAATTTTTATTTTGCTGTAGTATGTGGTTGGAGGCCAACAGTGTGGTTAGAGAATTTGCAGATAATAGCAGTTCTGGTTTTTGAAATGGGCTGTTTACATCATGGTGCAGAGTTTTCTTTCAGTCTCTTGATAGAAGGCCATTTTGGAATCTAGAGTAGCAGCAAAGGTAGGGTTTAACATTTAGGAAGGTCTTCAAAGATGAGGGGGGTTCTTATGTTTAACAAAACTAAAGAAAAGTTGAATGTGGGAAGCAGTTGGTGAAAAGGAAGGAAACCTGTGAATGCTTTGAAGTGGTGTTAAAGACACCAAATGGGCTGCTTGTCTGCAGTGCCGCTCCTACTTGCAGTGAGGGATAAATCTGTTAAATATTGAGAGTTCTCATTTAAACTAATGCATTGTTTACAGGTGTCTGGAGTTCCTTCTACAGAATGATGCCAATCCATCCATCCAAGACAAAGAGGGGTACAACACTGTGCATTATGCTGCTGCATACGGACACCGGCAGTGTTTGGAACTGGTGAGCGCTCAGATGGTTGAGAGGTCTCTAACTACTGATACAGATGTGTGTGTGTGTGTGTATGAATGTCCCAGCATTGTGAATTCACCTCAAGTTTATGATTTGAGTCCTTTGGAAATTCATGGTTCTGTGAAAACTTGCAATAAACTTAGTAAAGTGGAACTAATAAGCAACCAGGTACATGTTAAAGACGTGATAGTTTTGTTAAACCAGTCCTTGTTCAACAAGCTGGTGCTTAAATGTTGAACATGAGTGGAGCTCTGGTTATTTTTTACCGTAATGGAAATATTCCCAGTGTTTGTGATAGTAATAAGGAGTAGTTCCCTGTGTGTGGGGATGTGTGTGCACAATTATCAGGCTCGTGTGCTGAGAGCTTTTATTAGCTGCATACCTACAATGTGTTTTTGCCTCTGAAGAAACAATAGCAGCACTGATAAAGCTGATGAACCATAATCAACCTTGTGGGCCATGTGGCTGTTTTCTTTGTTGGTGTGTTTCCGCTGTTGTTGCACCTGAGTGATTAGAAATTGCATCTCTCAAGAAGCCCAAAATGTTCAGTCAAAAACTGGATTTGGGAGATCTCACAGTGAGCATTTATAGTAGAGTGGAGGTTGTAAGTAAATAAATCCATAAAAATCCTGTGAAAATGGATGTTACCTGAACAGCTTGTTATACAGGGGGATCCAACACAGATATAAATAGGCTCTGCTTTAAAAACAAACAAAAAAAAAGGGTAGAAAATTGTATAGATGTTCAGACCTGAGTAAGAGTGCTGTGCACTGTTCAGTGTTTTACACTGTTTGGTTTGTTCTTTCCTTGTTAAAGTGCTTAATAATTGAAGAGGACTTAGGCACAAACATGTGCTGCCTTCATCCCACGTGCACCAGCTCTGTCAGTCGCTGCCCCCTCTGGGAGATCCTGCAGCTGGCCCAGCCTGGGTCACAGCTCCGGGTTAAAAGCCTTTCAGCTCCCACCTGCACACACAATTATAATTAGGACACTTGGAAGACCACTGCTTCTTTTTGCTTGTGGCAGGTGTTCGGCCTTTCCTGGTTGGGAGACGTCTCCTGGAGCTACTCCTGTGTGGCTCTGCCCCTTGGGGACAGAGCAGTCCTCTCCTGCATGCACTGTGGATTTGGAGCAAAAGCAAATATTCTTGGCCTTTGAAGGGCGTGTATGCAGTTTGTTTGGTGCAGTGTACAAGCCTATGCTTGTATGGCTACAGCAGAGTGTACTGCAGCCTCACTTCTGTCTTATCACCAGATTCTTGCAGGACTGGTGTGAGCAGAGCTGTCTGCAACAATGTCTTCTCTTTCAACCTGGTATTGTAGCCCTTGTGTGCCCTTGTGTGTGGAGCAAGCACAGGGAAAGGTCTCTTTTCTTGCTGCTGGACACATTTTCTCACAACATAGCAGTTACAAACCTGCTGTCAGCTCCAGTGTTACTTAGGCATGCCAGACATACAAGAGCTGGGAGTGCAGCACGTATTGGAGGTGTTGTGTTTCTCTTCATTTTGAAGGGTGACATGCAAACCATGAGTGAGAGACAGCAATGCAGCAAATGTGCTGTATTCATATTGGGAATTCAGTGTTGTTTCATGTTAATCCTCACATATTTGTGACTAGAGCTGCAGTATAGAAACCAAAGGCCAAGGGTCACTTGCGAAGTTACAGCCATACAGCATGTTTTCCACACACCTGTGAATGACCATTTACATACTATGCTGTCTACCTCAGAGCATTATGTGGACCAGGATTTTGCCACTGGTGTTGAGAGATTGGCAGACATCTTATTTCACCTCTGGAATACAAAAGATTGAGTGCTTTGGCAAGCAATTGTGCTCAGTCTGCAGCAGGACTGGGCTCATCATCTTTTGTATCCACTGTCAGAAGAGACTGATTCTGTTTTGTTCAATGAGCAGTTGTCCCTTAGTTCTAGTGAGTTACAGAGACCCAGGTTATATTTGCATGATGATATTTGATAACGATAATGAATTGATGCAGGCAGTTACCTTTACATTGATTTTTTTTCTTCCCTTCATTTCTTATATTGAAACATCAAATGAGCTGGGAGCAGTCTCCAGTAGTTGAAAGGTAGTGTTGCTGTGAGCATATTTTCAGTTGTCCTTGCTCAAGGAGTAGTGGGATCCCAACAATGCCAATTCCAGTCTAAATGCATCTGTAACTAGATAGAGAGACTTCTTGTTTTGGCTTCACACATGTGATAACAGGTACTTGGGTATCCAAGTGCTAACCTTGAACCATTAATCTACATCACAGGGTCTGTCATGTGAAATGTTCCTTCTGAAATATTTACAGTTTCATCCTAAAGAAGAGATTTCTCAGGCAGGATTATTGAAATTAAAGCTTTTTCTTTCAGTGCCAAGTTAACTGTTATTTTACTGTTTTATCCCTTGGGTATATAGTTTCAGTTTATTAGTGGCAAATCAGACAAAAATATCTGGAAATTATTTTCCCTTGTCCTACGAGACAGTTCTTTATGGGCACAAAACTGTTAGGGGAAGAAGTTCGTTTAAGATACGAAGCTTTGGATCTGATCAAAACTAAGGCAAAATGTTGCAATGCTGAGCTTGATTCTGTGGGTAACAGTTACTAGCATTTCCCTAAATGCACAATATTAAGCTAAAGGGATACATTCATGCATATTTTTCAGTGTTGTGGACCTTGCCGAATTTGTCAGAGCTTGTAAGCCTAATTTTTTAGTTCCTCCTTCCCTCCTGTTTCTTTTAAACAGGTAACTGAATTAATCTATTTCAAAAGAAATGATCACTTAAAAAAAAAAAATCTGAAGAGGACAGTGCAGTGTCTAGTGAAGTTTCCTTAGCTCTAAGGGATCTGATCATTACTTTAAACATCATGGCTTCTCAGCATGACAAAATATTTACACCTCTGAGTACAGTTTTGGAAGGGCTGGTTTATCTACAGAAATACGTTTTTAATTTTTGCCATATTTTGTGGCACAAGAAATAAGGTGTGTGTTTGTGTGTTCAACCACAGAGCTCAATGCCAGAAGCTCTTCTCTGGAGAACCTTTAAGTTGCCTGGAATATCACTTTGCAGTGAATGACGTGATGTTGCTAAAAAGAGAACAGTGGAAGCAGATTCTTGAATTCTTTCAATATTTGTTGCGAGCCATTCATAAAGACTGAATGGTGAGCATGTGTGCTTGAGAGCAAGTGAAGCTCTGTCTTTCTCATGTGCTTTCATACTTCTAACAATATAACCTCATGTTTGCTCAGATTGAGACTGAGCTTCTTTGGTGTTCGATAGTCGGAGATGTTCTCTATCACTTGCTGGTATGTTAGAGTTGATCATGTTAGTGAACTGTAGTAGTTACGAGTAAAAAAGGTTTATTTTTCATTGAAATGATCTATCACAAAATCCTTAATGCCATGGAAAGAGTGAAATTGCAATTGCAAATTAAAGTGTAGTGTGGAGTGTCAGTCAGACCCTTTATGTTTTAATGTCAAGACAAAGGAAATGAAGCGTGTCAGTGTTTTGCAGTGATTTCTCTGACTGTAAGTACTGATTGTTAATTTACTTTTAATCTGCACTTCTCCTTATCTCATCAGCATATGAAATTCACTTTTGGCCAACAGAAACTGAATTGGCACAATGGCCGATTCTCTTCAGGATGGGAGGAGGGCGCATGGTTTAATGGAAAACTATATCTGAGAGAAAAAGTAAATCTTGGTTCATATGCCTGACCAAAGCAGTGAGCTGCAGAGCCATCTGCACTGGGAGATCTGCTGGCAGAGCCTGTCACTGTGGGCTGTGTTGTGGAGTTTGAGGGCAAGGACACATCTTTTGTTAGACCAGGTGTGGCAGTGAGGAAGTAGCAAGCTGTGTGTTCCATGTTCGGTCCCTTGCATGTGGAGAAGTTGCAATCACAGACCCTCCAGGTCTTTCATATGACTGCTCCTGGTTTTCTGTCTGTTCATCAACAAGAAAGTGTTGGTTCATTCATCTGAGACACTGGCAATCAGTGGTGGGCAAATCACATGTGGTTGGGATAGGCATGAAGTAGCTGTCTGCTGCGTGGGGTCCTGCCTCGACCACTTGTCTGGCTCCAACCCCTGATCTGCCTCATGGCCTGAATCCCTGCATTCAAAGGGCTGTGCTCTGTTTTTCTTCTTTTATGCATGTCTCACTGTCTCCATGACAAACGCTGCTATTCTGAAAGGGAGAATTTTGTCTGACAGCAGCAGTGATGGTGCTTTGTGCCAACCTCCCAGAGCTTTTCCTGCATGTCAACTTTGAATGTCTGAGCAGTTGTTCCACGTGCAGTGCAGAAATTTGATGTTTCCTCTGCAGTTTAGGTACAATTAGGACTTGACGTTCTTACTTTTCATGAAGAAAACACCAATAAGACTCAAAAAATACATAGGACAAGATTTCAAATAAATAGGCTCCCTATGCACAGAATTCAAGGGAGGTTATGTGAAGTATAACTGAGCAATTCTGAAAAACATGAGTATGAGTTTGGATGACTGCTTAGTGAAGGGCTGTTAGCAGCACCAGCTGATATGTGAGGGTGGGTGTCTGTGCAGGCAGCTCTCAGTGCATCAGAACCAGGGAGCCTTTCTGTCAAACCCACTGCTGTACACACCTTTCTTGCATGTTTTTTCTAAGCAGAGGAAGTTTACAGTTATTCTAGTGTCCTTTTTTTTTTTTGTTTTCTAAAAGGAGAATGCAAAAGAAGATGGGAACATATCGAACATTTGTACATGCTGATTAAATTATTAATAGGAGCCTATATGTGCTAGAATTGCCAATATATGTTACCTTATAGCAGTGCATAAGCTTTGGCTTAGGTTTTTTTTTGTTGTTGTTTTTTTGTTTTGCTTTGGAAACTAAATTGAAAATCTTTTAAGAATCAAAATTAGGATGCTAAATGCTGTTTTTGAACTTCGTATGAGGGCAGGAATTTGCCATCTGCATCCGAGTGGCACTTTGGCTCCTAGAATAGCAGGATTGCCTAGGAGGGCTTTTTTCTGTCTAACAGATTTAGGGATTTTTTTTCTTTTTTTTTCTTGATTTTTTTTTTTTTCTTTTTTTTTTCCTGACAGAGAGAAGCAAGCTGTTAACATGTGCTGTCTTTTGTCAGAGAGTAACAAGGTGATCACAGAGCTGCAGGAGATGGTTTTCCTTCAGGCATGGACTCGTGCTGTTGCCTGAAGTACCTGTCTGTGAATGTGTGTGGTGTTTGAGTGGAAATGTGGACAGGATATCTGACTTTCTAATCTACTGAATCCAGTGAGAGAGGTGTATGGCACTGCATTAGACAGCATAGCTCAGAAAGAGGTGTGGCTGCTGGGGTCTTCAGGCTGTAATCAGGCTCTTTTATTCAAGGGAAGATGTTTGCCTGTTTTCAGCAGACTTCCAAAAAGGAATGTCTCTGGTTTATTGCTGTAAGTACACTTTAGACAAAGGCTCCCACAGCGTGCATATTTTGTGTCTGTCTTTTGCCAGTCGAACAGATTGACTGTAAACATTCTCCCTGACTATTATTTTCCTCTTTCTCTTCCTCCCATGTGATTTCATGCAACTGGTATCTGTTCTCGGGGGCTGACATTAGGCAGTTGTCTTATTGCTGCTTCAGGAGCATTTCGTCCATAGGTGGACAGTATAGAGACAGGTGTGTAAAGGTGTCCTTCTTAATATGCTTTTATTCATTCCTGAAAGTGCCATGAAAAATAGCTACTAATTGATGAACATTTTGACATTTTACATTTGGTATTAATAGCACCCAGCTATGGTGCTATGAAGAAATAAATCACTTGTGGGTGTGGAAGTGATATGTGTTTAAACTTGGAAATTGCCTTATTGAAATAATCAAACTTTCAGTGGAAAGCCACTTGAATGTCAGTGGTGGTTAGATCAAACCTTTTGACATAGCTACAGGTGGTGTGTACAGGTGGCTGTGTACGTGCATGCTGTTTCATACAGAATCATGCTTTCGCTTTTCTTCTAGGATTTGAGGTAGCACCCATCACTACAGTGATCTGGTTTGAAGTTGCTTCTGATATCTTCTTTTTAAAAGTGTAGCTTAAAGCTTTTATGCATGATGAAAGTATGACCTCATTTACTTCCTAATAGTAATTTTAAATTACAGAGATACTCCATCAAGCTATATTTTTTTTAAATAGAGATAAATAAATAGAGGATTTACTGTAGTTCAGAAGAACAATTGTGTCAACCATCCTATCACTAAACAGCAAATCGGAGTGGGGAGAAAAAAAAAAGTAAAATCAAATGGAGTTAAATACCCCACACCATATTTATCCATGTAATCCTATATTGTAAGCACAAAATACATTCAAACAGTGAGTCTTCTTCTATCTGTAAATACCATTACTGTACAAATAAAATTGTGAGAAGTGAATGTTATTAATCTTTGCATGGAGCGGGAGGAGAGAGAGCTGCAGCCTCGTAGTGCTATTAGCTGGTAGCAATGGAACTGAATAATTGATGCTTTACCTTGTTTTGTCTGCATCTCACTCCCAAAGCACCAAGTTCTTGAGTGTGAAGGAGACTTTGCAAAATAACTGATGACGTGCAGTGCTAAATGGTGCTGTTATGAGAAGTGCAGCATAGAACTGGGGATCCTTACCTTTTAAGAGGTGATGGCCTAACCAGAGAGGACAGTGCCCACCACTTTGGCTGGCAGCAGCTGTGCAATTCTGACAGCACTTAAAATCTGCAGATGACTGAGTGCAGAAATGTAGTATTCTAAAAGAAATTATCTTAATGGCACAAGACACGAGATATGCTGGGATCTTCCCCACTCAGCCAGCTGCAACTATGAGCTGTTGGTAATGTGTTCTTATTGCCTCTCTTGAGAGAAGTGCTTTGGTCAACTTGCAGCAGGAAGGTTTTGCACTGCAGCTGGCATAATTGGGTTGTTTTGAGAAATAAATTCACATTTCTTATTATTTAGAAAACACACAGTGTGCATCGCTTCCTACAAAGGTGCTCTAAGGTGGAAGCTAATGCTAATGGAATTAGAACCCTGAGGAGAGCTTTGTGTATTCTTGTAACAAGTATATGAGAGGTATTGTAAATGCCTTCTTCTTAGAACCATTGCAATGCTAGTGAAGCTGCAGAATTTGCCTTATAACTTACACCTGGTACTTTTTGTGTCTGAGTGTGGTGTGTATCCTTCACATGAATTAGTTTTAATTGCAAGCTGTGCTTGATAAGACAAACAAGAAAATCACTAATTCTGTGCCCTTGATCTTCTTTTATGATTTCTCTTCTTGCACTGTTGGACCACATATCAGGGAGCAACCAGATTTACTCTCAAGTTCTCATTTATGCTTGACTTTATGATAGAGACATTCATCCTTTTGAGTAATAAGCTCATTAACCTTAGTCTGCATTAGTCTAAGCTGCTTTAACTAAGCTATTGGGATGCCTTTTGTGAGGAGCTCTCCAATCCTGCAGTAAAATTCCTTTAGAACCTTCATTGTGTCAATTTTCCCATCTATTTGTAAGGCAGTTATCTGCCTTGTTCCAGAAGACTCATGGAGCCCTCTGACAGGTTCAGGAAAGTACTAAGATTGTGATCCCAGCATTTCAACAGATGATGATCAGCGTAGTTACAAGCAATTAAAATAGTCTTCTGTGCCCACCTTTATGGATTGTAGTAAAGGTGAGTATTGAGCAGACTGGGGAGCTGGCTTTGTACTCACATTTGGATATTTTTTATTTCATTTGCTCAGTAGAGAAGATCAGAGTTAAATGAATTACCTTATTAGAGCGTGTTTGGAGTAACTGAAAATTTGTGACCATGCATTCGGAGTTGCCACTTAATCCTGTTTCCATCCATTTAAAATACAAGAGAAGGATGATATTTTAAATTGGAGGTCTCTCCATGTGTTTGTAACAGATGTGTTTGTGTAACTCTGCCCCAAATCTACTAAAAAAGTGATGTGGACTTCTTTTTTCCCTATCTGCAAGGTTGTGTTAGAATTCATATTGCATATTAATACACACACCCATTTATGAATAGTATTTGCATCAACGCATTTTTTTCTCTGTCCAGATATTTCACTAGGTTCAAAATACACAAATGAAGTTACTGAATAGTTTTTTGTTGTTGTTGTGTTTTGTTATTGTAATAGGCTTCAGATTAATGTCTTTGTTTAATACACGATTTGTGATGCTTTGGAAAAATTTATCTTTGATGTAGGTCTGTTAAGGACAGTTTTGTTACATAGAAAGTTTAGGTAAATGTGAGTTCAGTGTGTATCATCATCTTGCAGTGCAGGTGGGGTAATTTCTGTGCCTACCATAGGATTTCACCAGTTTCTTTGGACAGCATTCCATGTTGGTGTACCATAGAATTGTCCTGATTGTCACCACTGTCCCTTTGTTCAGTTTTCGAGTTAGATAATTACTCTCTCAAAAAAGTTTGAAAAAGTTGAAACCATAGAAATGTTTATCAGTCTCTGGTTACTAATTTTTTGACAATATTAATTTCCAGTCACAGAGGATTTTGGAGACTAACTCTTTGAGTAGTATTCAAGTAAAAATGCCTTGCGTGCCAGCAGTAATGCTACTCTGCAGTGTTGAATTCACAGTATTTTGTCAGTATCTGTCAAGTTTTCTTTACAGCCTCAGTGGGGTCAGTTGCCAGGGTTCATGTGCTTTTGTGAAGGGGTGCTAGTCACAGTAATTCTGTAGTTTGTCATTCTGGCTGGGTAGAAGTACCCCATTTGTAAGCCTTAAAATGCTTTGGGAAATGTAGAAAATCATAAACATATGATGCATTTTATTAGATATTAATTTTTTTTTTTTTACTTTTGTGAGCATGGTTATGTTCAAGGATGTGTTGCACTCTGGAAGACTATGTAAGGAAGTTCTACTCAGATGAAGTATAAAAATGGCTGTGTAATTGCTTGCAGCTTAGTTCTAACTATTCTCAACCCAAATAATGTATCAGAATTATAAAAGAAATGCTGAATCAGAAATGGTTTGTATGTGCATTACCTGTGTATTCATGAAACAGTGCTTCTGCAGTGCAAAATAACTTAGGGCTCTACTCCACAGATTATTCCTTTTACTGCTGATCAGGGTAAGGATGTTCATTAAAGGCTTTCAAATTACTTTTAAATCTCTATCCTATAGGGTAAGAAGACTTGAAAATACTTTACTGTAAATATAAAGTACTTACTCCTCATTGCCCTTCAGTATTCACTGTAGACATCAGAATTTTTTTTGTCTGCTGAATCATAAAAACTTATCCTAAGTTGTACAAGAATGTTTTAAGATTTTTTTTTTCTTCCGTTTTCAGCTTCTGGAAAAAAACAGCAATATGTTTGAGGAATCAGATTCTTCAACTACAAAAAGTCCTTTGCATTTAGCTGTAAGTATGAGATGTGTAATGTGTTGATCATCATCTCAAAGAATAATGCTTTAATCTTTGTCTTTGAAGCAGGTTTAATCATAGGCTTGGTTTTGAAACAAGTAGGCTTAGATGTAAGAAAAACAAGTTCTGAACAGGAATTGTTGAGTTTCTGGCTGTTGAAGCTCTTTGCTCTTATTGATTATAGCACTCAGGTAGTAGAAGAAACAGAAACTGAAATAAAATTAAATGGCAAGCTACAAATTTTTGCAACCAGTCTATAAAGTTGGAGCTGGACCTTGAGCCTATGGCTCTGATGATGGAGTGGGTTGTTCTGCTGCAGACATACAGTGTGCAGAAATAGTCTGATACACAACTAGGTGTGGGAATGCATACAGTATGGCCCAGTACCTGAACACCCTCGTGGTAAAAACGTTTTTTCTTGTATTTAAATGGATTTCCCCATGTTTAAATTTGTGCCTGTTACATGCCTCGTGTGGTGCCACTGGGCACCACTGGGAAGAGTCCGGCTCTTCCTTCTTTGCTGTCCTGCTCAGATGTACAGACACATCAGTAAGGTCCTTCTAATGCTTTTATTTTTTTAAACTGAAACTCTCAGCTTGAGAGAGCTATCTTCACATGTCTTCCACAGACTGGCCCCACACTGACTGTTCAACATCACCATGAATCTGCTCTCTTCTCAATAGGGAAGAAACTTGCTTACTGGAAAATAGGAGCATGTTTTAGTTCTGTAGTGATCATATCTCTGTTTGCCAGCTGGTCAGAACTGCTCTTACCTGGCGTTTGAATTTTCTGTACATCATCTGAGGGAACAAAAGCCAGAAGTTGGTTTAAAAGGGACTAACTTTGTCACTAAGCTGTTCTCTCAGTTCTTTACTTCTACAGTTTGAAGACTGCAGGAAGGACAGTGTCTGAAACCCAAATAGGGGTTACAGCTTGCTCTATTACCAATGCAAATTTTTGTGCTGGGAAGGGACTTGACCTGCACCTGGCCAGACAGCAAGCTCATTTCCTCGCTGGTCTTTCTTGGTCAAAATCCTTGCAAGGACGCTGACGGAGGTCTTTCCTGTTGTATCTGTTGCTAATTAACAGCTCTTCATTCACTTGAGACACCCCTAAAACAATTCAGGGAAAATGAAAAAAAGAAAGAAAAAAAGGAAAAATAAAAAATTCACATAAAATATTGCTGTTTCTCACACTTCAATTGTATCAAAAATCAGGTTATTGGTTGTTTTCCAAGAAATTATAATAGGGAAGGAAATTACATCAAGACTGTTTTCTGCTATATGGATTCTCTGTGTCCTAATTTCCTTATGCTTTTTTTTTTTGCCTTTGCCTTCCCTCTTTCCTTAAGTAATTTTCTTGGTCTAGCAGTGCAACAACTGCTTGGCCACTGCTCTGTCTCATTCTTTTGTACTTCTGTGAACAATCAGTAGGAGTGCTTAACCTTGAAGATTGGTCTCTGGTTATTTCATGTTTGTATTTCTCTTCTGTTTTCATTAATTGTATCAACTCTGGCTACATGTTTATACATTGATGTTTAAATAAAAAAGATTATCTTAGCTGACAGTGAGGAGGACAGTCACTACAGAACTATATGAAGTGCTTCCATTTTCTGGAACTATCCATTAGGTTTTTGCAACATCAGCTGCATTTGTGTAGTCAGCCCAAATGTGACTGCTGGTCTGGAAGTGCATCTACTTGTCCACTACGGTTGTTCTACCAAGTGATCCTATCATGAGAAATCAACAAACTGTCATTTCCATTGTGTTTCAGAAACCCACAATGACAGATCTTATTCATGTTCTGCGTGAAAGTCTTTGAAAGACAAGACTTGTGTTCCTTACATGACTCATTTCATATTTCCAGGCCTATAATGGTCATCATCAAGCTTTGGAGGTGCTGCTCCAATCTCTGGTAGATCTGGATATTAAGGATGAGAAAGGACGCACTGCTTTGGACCTGGCTGCATTTAAAGGGCATGCGGAGTGCGTGGAAGCTCTCATCAGCCAGGGTGCTTCTGTCACTGTAAAAGACAATGTCACCAAAAGGACCCCCCTGCATGCTTCAGGTGAGTGTGCTCTTGTGTTACACTTGCAATATAAAGCCTTTAGCATGTTTACCTGCTATCTCTATGCTTATTTCTTCTAAACAGAAGAAATTTTGATGTGTATTGAGGTGGTCTTGCAGTTAAATCTGTCATTCTTGTGGTATTTTTCCTCTGTCCCATGGTCCATTTATCCCTCATAGATACTCCTGCTTTTCCACACTCTGCTGCTGCTCGGACTTTACCTGCTCAGTTGTGCTTTACCATACCTCTATTACACCTAGTCTAAGATGTGGGGTGTTTTTCCTGCAGCAGTTTCACTTAATGGTTCTCTAGCCAGAAAAAAGAGAAGAAGAGAGAACAGTTGTTTCATTGCTTATCCCAAGGAAAGAATAATTGAAAATACAGGCGGGCCTTGGTGGCAATGAAATTGTCCTGTGTTCAAAGCCTTCTGCCTGTTTCAGTGGTAATGTTACAGAAATTCATCCTCTTTCGAAAGTTATTCTCCTCCTGAGCCAGCTTGTGAATTTGCTTTTGTTAGGAGTTGCTCCATTCTTCATACGTTGTGTACAACATGTTGCTTAATTAACTAGAAAATGTAGGATTTGCCAATTATTTAAAGGTTGTTATTTAATATATACTTGTTGGTTAAACACACAGCAGTGCCGGAGGGAATATTGCTCCTCTGGCTGTTAGTTCAAGGACTCAGTGCAACCCAGCAGTGACCTCTAGTGGGAAGAAAAATGAATACCTGATTAGATAGTTTTTTAATTCTCAGACTTTATTTTTTCTCTGTATTTTTTCATCTTGCTCAGAATAAAATGCATACACAGTTCCTGCTGTCCGGGACTTTCCATGTGAGCTGTGCAGCGTTCTGCGCAGTCAGCACAGCTCCCAACCAAGCTTTCATCTCCACCCATTACGAAGAGCCACTCATGCTTTTTGTTACGCTGTTCTTAAACGTTTTGCTTAGGAGTGTGTTAACAAAGAATGGTGTCACCTGTTGGAAACTGCATGGTGCCACAGTGATGTTCACTGTCTCTTATTTGCAATGCAGTCATAAGAGATAAATTGGCATATTTTGAGAAATCTAACAGAATTCTTGCTGAATTAATCCTTTGAGTGGCAGTATGTGTTTGCACACACAGAAGTGAAAACTTGCATGCATTTACCATTCACTGGAAAGAAACAAGACGGCGAGTGTGCCCATCCCCTTAACAGTGTCTGCCTTCATTCCTTCTTATTACAGAAGAATTGCTGAACACAGCAGTTAAGGAGATTTGAACCTTTGGATTGGATTAGAGGACTCTGCAGAGCTCTCTTCAGCATGGGGGTTTTTGACTTCAGTAGGCAAATAATTCAGCTAATGAAGTATTTCTTTTTTAGTGTCTGTTCCCCTTGGGGAACAGACTTCCTTTTTCCTCATAACCTGGAGAATTTCCTTAGCCTAAATCATGTGTTCCCTGTATAATTTTATTACCACCAGACTTTACTCTCTCTGGCTTGGGGGATGCATTGCAAATGTTTGCCTAATGTAGTGTTGTAGCTCTATTGACAACACTAATGTTCCCTGCAGGGTCTGTAGTGCTTAGCAATTACTGGGTTAGCTCTGAAGTCTTCCTGGGAGTATCTGCTCAAAAACTCATTTACCAAAATCTTTTTCAGACATCAGTGTGAACAAGTTTTGATTTCTCTTCCTCCTGCTGGGTGATAGAACTGATTTTTTTTTTTTTTCCTTCTTATTTTTTCTGTTTTCTCTGTGAGTCACTGGTTCATCACCCTGCAAAACTTTTTTTGTTTTATGTATATGACTTACTTAGTGGTAAATAACTAAAAATGTCTTGTTTTTTGTTTTTTTTTTTTTTAGTAGACTGACTAAGATTATTTTTGGAGGAGTGATTTAAATGTGATGATGTGCACTCATTTCTCTGCCAGAATGGTGTGACATAGGTGGAACCCAAGATTTTTGCCTTGGTTCACAGGGTGTGGGCAGTATGAGTGCATGACTCTGAAAGGAGGATATAATTTCTGTGTACTGAATACAGGAATTACTGGATTTTTAAAGATGAAATTCTTGTTCTGTTCATCCTGTGGGTCATATAAAGCTGAAGCCTTTAAGCCGGCTGAAAGACAGATGGGTTTTCAGTGTTTAGCCCTGCAAAATGTACCTTGGAGCTGTTTTCCAACAGCACTAGGTTGCATTTTCAGAGCAAACCCTGTTTTTGAGAAGTAACCATGGCTTCAAATGTTAAAGTAGAAAAGAACCAAGAATTTTTGTTTCTCTGGTTTGTCCTCTGGCCATGCAAGCAGCTAACATGATAGTGTGCCATCATCTCCTTGCTGATCGAAGAGTCTCATCACAGTTTTTTTTTACTAACAAAGATCCTTAACAGGGCTTTGAGGAGGAAAACAAGCAGAATGGGATAAAACAGCCTTCCAGTTATAGAATATCAAGAGTAGTGGTGAATTTGTGTGCTGAACTTCAGTCGCCTTGAGCATGCCCAACAGTCAGAGAAATTTGTTGCTGCAGCAAACCAGAGTGGTGTGAAGCAGTCCGAATGGCTTGAAGAGGCCTTGTGCAATAGACTGGGGGAGTGTGATTGACTAGCCTGAGAGGCAAAAGTAGAGACACAGTAGCTGCCTTTTGTGGAGGTGTTGCTCTGAGGCTTCCATGCTGCTCTCCTTGTGGCTTCCCCATAGCTGTCAGTAGTCAGCCTGGAGGTCACTGGGGAGCAAAATGTGGAAGTAATGTCGTGCTTCCTGGAATATAATAAAATGTGTAACACTGGTCATTCTTTGTAGATGCTTTTTAAAAAACAAAACCAAAAAAACGAGCACTAAGGAACTTGTTTGTTCCTTAGCCCACACAATATTAATGAGCCTTGCAGAGAAATTCCTAAGGTGTTCCAAAACTGATCACAGAAAACCTCGTCTGCCTCCTGACTGCGGGGGATTTTGGAATGCTGTCTGCTTTGGTAGAAATCTTCTCTGTAGTAAGAATCACAGTTTCTGTTTTACTCATTGGGGATTTGTGTACGAAAGGAAAGTAGTACTTATCTTACTGAGGAAAGAGAAAAGGAGCTCACCATTTCGTTGGTAGAAGTAAATTGTGGAATTACATTGGGGAATATTTTCTGTATACATATAAGAAATTTCTTATCTGTAAGCATTCCAATGGGAAAGCATCTGAAATTAAGCCTATTCTAATTATACACACTTTTTTCTTTACAGTCATTAATGGCCATACACCTTGTTTACGGCTGTTGCTAGAAGTTGCAGACAACCCTGATGTGACGGACGCCAAAGGACAGTAAGTTTCTTTGGTTGTTTTATTTCAGTTCTGTAATTCAAATGGCATCTCAGGTTTCTTACTTCAAAAAAAAAAAACCCAAAAGTGTTTATTTGAAATACTGTATTTCCTGCACTATTTGTGAATAGAATTTGGCAGAGACTTCAAGGCACGCATGCAGTTGATCTGAGCCATTCATTAATCATAGCCTCTATTTCATACATTAAATAACTTTTCACATACTCTTAGAGCCAGATTCAGTAAAAACTAACAAGATTCTGAGATGCCTGGAGAGTCTTATTTTCTAAAATGCTGATGTTTCAGCATATATTATGTGTCTAGAGGTATATTATGCTGACAGAGTGACACAGAATGTTTGTTCAAGGCGAACCCGAAATTGGAGATGTTCCTACAAAAGTTTTATGTCTCATTAAATGACAGCTACAGAGAGAATAATAGAGTATGTTTTAGAAGTGAAAACTTCAATGTTTTTCATATTTAGGGTACCTGGAATATATCTGACTATACATATTATTTTAAATGGTATTAGTCTTACTTAAATATAGAAGGAAAATAGATCCCTTTCAGGAGGAAAAAAAAAAATTAAAAAAAAAAAAAACATATTTAAAAAAAAAAAAAAAAAAACAAAAACAGCAGAAGATCTATTGGTCCAAATCAAAATTTTGGCCTCTATAGTTTCTTTGTGTCTCTTCCTCCACTTTAAACAACTGTTCATTATTTTCAGAAGAAATACTTGGAGTTGTTGTCATCTTGGTAATTAGCAGAGGCATTCACCCACGACTTGGTACTGTAAAACTTGTATTGCTGGAGATGACAATAACTGTAGGTTTTTAAAAGAAAAAAAAATTGTGTGGAATGATGTTGCTCTGTAAACTGCTCGCAGGTGGGTTTGTCTGTCACAGTCATGATAGCTGGCTGTTAGGCACCTTAAGAAAAGCTTTATGCAACTGTTTTCACTTGTGTTGTATAGATGAGTGTGGTGATACGAATAGATTTCTGGGTAGCAATGGAGAGAAATGCAGGGCTTCCTGATTTATGCCTTACAGTAAGTCAGCAGTAGCAAGTAGTATGCAGTTTATAGACGTGACTTTTTTGTTTCTTTTTCCTTCCAGAACCCCACTAATGCTTGCAGTGGCACATGGACACATTGATGCTGTTTCCTTATTACTTGAAAAAGAAGCATCTGTAGATGCAGCAGATCTCCTGGGGTGCACAGCTTTACATCGAGGGGTGACTTCATTTTTCTAAATTCTAAGTATTTGTTCTATTGTCACTGCAACTAAATTATAAACATAGGGATGTTGAATGTAAGAGATATAGCTAATGATTGAAAATACAACCAAAAACAGTCAATGAGGTAAAAATTGGGACAAATCTGCTCTGTTTTTGATTGTTCGCTTTGATTAATTAAAAACTGGATCTTCTCTTAGAGAAAATTAGTGAATAGACAATTTACTATCGCAGTCATTATTGTTCTAACTGAAAACAGCAAATTTAAAAGGACTGCCCAGCAGTTATTATCCTTTTTCCTGGGTAGCAGAATGTAACTATGTCAGCCCTAAACTTTCAGCCAGAAGCAGTGAAGTGCAAGGCAGATCTAACCTTTTCTAGGAGCCATCTTCCTACCCAATGTGAAGTTGACGCAAGCGATCATATTTATTCACAACTGTGTGATAATTGCAGTGAGCAGTTCAGCTTAGAGTCCAACACTGGTTTGTAATAAATGTTATGGTGAAAAATTGCTGTTCTGCCTTGACATCGATACATGAACATGACCAAGGTGCTAAAGCTAAACTACATGTGTTATGGAGGTCCAGCTGTTAAATATCTTTTTGTACTTCTGGTAGTTTTCTTTATGCTCCCCTCAGTTCTTTTTGCACATTCGTAAGCTGTCTAGAGTGGCCAGATTCAGGTTTTGTAGCCTCACCCTTTGCTCATACATCTCCTTAGCCTTAAACTCCTCGTTGCTTTTGACTCTCACTTAGAGAAGCCTCTTAGAGAAGTCTCGTCCACAAACTAATAAGTGCCTTTGAAAGCCAGTACCAAATATATTTCGATATAACAGTTATCATAGGTACCCATAGGAGAAGTGGAGCTTTCATCTCTGCCACCTGAATCCCATACAGGCTTTTTCATGTTTATAGTCATCAGTCATATTCCACGTCTCCTGGGTAGAAATCTGTGTTTGTTTCAACCTCTTCACTCATTTCTTTGTTGCCAGATTATGACTGGGCATGAAGAGTGCGTTCAGATGCTTTTAGAGAAGGAAGTGTCTATTTTATGTAAAGATGCTAGAGGTAGAACACCTCTGCACTTCGCAGCAGCTCGGGGTCACGCCACTTGGCTGAGTGAATTACTGCAGATTGCACTTTCAGAGGAAGACTGCAGTTTAAAGGATAATCAAGGTTATACACCACTGCACTGGGCTTGTTACAATGGTAAGTTTATCCCTGTGGATTTTTGCCAGGTTCGAATGTGGCCTTTGTTTTAGGGAAGCATGATAGCAAAGCAGACTGACAATTTGAGAAGGCTGAAATGAAGAGTCAGATCATTTCTCCTCTACTTGCTCTCTGTGGTTTCTCTATATTTACCCTTCAGTTCAGGAGCCAAGGAAGTTCCAGCAATACTTCCCAGTGACTTTGTGACTTACAGAGAAGTTCTCAGTCACTGTGCTCATTTGTTCCCATTGCAGGAGGCCAGAGTGAAATTCTGTGTTTAATGAAGTAAACTATAAAGTTCTCATTTATTTACCAAGGGACCAGGAATGCTTCTCTGAGGTGTTACCTTTTCATTTATTAGTGCAGGAGACCACATCATTAGTTGAGAAGTCTGAACTGATTATACTTCTTGCCTAATGTAAGAATAGAACTCCTTTCTGTCATCACTTCAGACCAACTGGGAATATGTAAGGTCATGTACATGGCATCACATTTGAGAAAAAAATACAACTTTTTTTGTTTTTTATTCCTTTTTTTTTATTATTTCCTTTTTTTTTTTTCCCTTCACTTATGGCTAATATTGGGCTGGTGGAGCTGCATTGCTGCTGCCTTTAAAACAAAACAAGCAAAAAAGACCCAAAGCCCCAAAACATAAAAACAACAACAACAACAACAAAGATAAAAACTCAAAACATTTTCTTATAATTCTGTTATATGAAAGTTCGTATTCACAATATGTCCAACCTTAATGTGCTTGAAGTGTCAAATTATAATCCTTCTGTGCCTGGTCTGAAATAAGTTAATTCCCTGTTCTGTGCAACACTTGAAATATCTGTTTCTTGTAGGTCATGAAAACTGCATAGAGGTACTATTGGAGCAGAAATTTTTCCGCAAATTCTATGGTAATAGCTTCTCTCCGTTGCACTGTGCTGTGTAAGTAGAAATCTGTAACAAATGCTTTGCTTTGGGTTATGCCTGGAGAAAGTAGTAGTATAAGAAGAAAGCTGTCTTTATTTCATATTATTTGCATGAGCAAATCATTTGAAAATTGTTCATAGAATGGTGCTTATTCTTTTCTGCTGAGAAAAAGAAGTTGCATGATAAAGAGTATTTGGCAGAAGTTTGATACATCTGAGCTACTTGATGAAATGCTGACGTGTCATTAAACAGCTGTATTTATACTCCTTTTCCAGTTTCTTTTCCCTTGCTTGCCACTGCAGGCCTATGCATTCTTTGCCACTCGGTGGAATTTCGTAGCTCTTCCATTCTTAGGCCACGACCTGGGCTATTAGAATGACAAAATTATGAACTCCTCCTACTATTGGAAGAGTTAATATTTTTGAGAAGTAATGGTGAGAGATATTGTTGCATAAACTTCTATTCTACAGTCCACATTGTTGCAAGATAGAAAAGAAATGTTGTTAGTTTCCAAGTGTGATACATAATTAAACAAAAACAATTACAAAGTTACTGGTTTTATTCTACTTAAAATAAATTATTTAGGAAAAAAATAAAAATATTTAGGATGTAATTCTCCAACCCACCTCTAAACGCATGCAACTTAAAGATGCACATAAATTCAAAATGAAAGAACTGCTGCTGAGATGACATAAGTGTGTCTTTTAGCAACATTAGACATAGATTGTATGTCATAAGTTACTATACGCTGTTCATTTTCATAATGAAATAAGACAAATTGCCAATAACCAGGAGAGTATTGAGTACCTCCAAGAAAAATATTGAGAGTGTGTGTTGGAAGAGGTGTGTATTTCAATACCTTAAACATTAGAGTAAATCTCTCTATGTTTAGGTACATATGACCGAGTGCTTTCTCAGTTCAGCTGTGCTTGTTGATTAGACTCAAGGATTTAAAGGTTTTAGGGTTTTAATCCTAGCTTGGTACTGCAGTTTCAGTTAATCTGGTGCATAGGGAATTGAAGGATCAGCTTTGCTTTACATGTGGAAATCCATAGCAATAGATGCAGTTTGGTTAAGAGAAGTGACGAATGGTCAGAACTGTGACTGAAAGTGTTAAGGCAAAGGTATGTTGGGATAAATTATAAATAATCACTAAGAAATATTAATGGGAAACGAAGAAAATGAATATGGGATAATGGTAAATATGTAGAGTTTTTATCTTCTTGAAAATGTATCTTTGGCAGAATCAACGATCATGAAAACTGTGCATCAATGCTCATCGGAGCCATCGATGCCAGCATTGTCAATTGCAAAGATGACAAAGGAAGGTAATAGCTTCCCAAACAAATTGCTTTTCCTCATCATGAATGTATCTCTCCTTTCTCATAGTACTTTTCTGAATTTCTGGAAAATAACCCTTGCGGTTGAGCTAAGACTTGTAATGCAGACTCTTTCAGACAGCAGCTTTCACTGCAACACAGTTAAGTGATGGCTGACTTAAAGCAAGCGAGCTGTGAAGCGTTCAGTTTTGCTATTAAGAAAATAGTATTTTAGTTCTTTAAGATGGGTAAAGGTCTAGGATGTTTTCCTGAACCTATTTTTTTTTCTTTTAAATATTTAAATGCATTCATATTATTTGCTAAATGAAGTGATGCTATGTACAAACAGAGAAATATTTCATTAAAAGTTGTTATGCTAACATTCTCTGGGCACATAACTGGAAATGAAATAATAAATGCTGGTACAGCAAGAAATATACTTCAAGTCAAATCTTCAGTCAAAATGATAATCTCACCATATGTATACACTTACATAAAGTTCCTTGGACAAACACTGTAAATACAGTTTAACTTGTTTTGGATGTTGCCACTATAACTTCCCCCTGGTGAGAATGTTTAGGAGGATTCAGAACGTCTTGCAGTTTCAGGCAAACAAACGGGAATATTGTAATTCTTTGGTAACAGCTGTGGCTGTGTGACTCTGCCCCACAGGACGCCCCTTCACGCAGCAGCCTTTGCGGATCACGTGGAGTGCCTCCAGCTCCTCCTGAGTCACAGCGCTCAAGTGAATGCTGTGGATCATGCAGGGAAAACAGCTCTCATGATGGCAGCTCAGAACGGTCATGTGGGTGCTGTTGGTAAGTGCATCCTTGCCCCAGCTTATCTTCAGGGTGAGCGTGACTGAGGCCACTGATTTTCAAGCAGATGATCATTTTTTCCTGGGAAAACTAAGAAAGGGAAAGCTTCTTACAGCCCTGCTCAGAAATTCTACTTTTACGCTGTTAAGAAGAAAATATTTCTTCTTCCTTCTGCGGTGTTTGCGAAGCTTTGCATTAACCTGAGTTTTATTTCCTCCAAAGGGAGCACTGTAATGCACTCAGAACATGAAGGGAGTAGTAATCCTTTTCTCCTGACTACTTCCTTAATTTTAAAACTGCAGGAAAACTGCATGTGTGAAAAAGATTTAAGTGTTATCTCTCTTTCTGTTATGTTATAGGGAGTCTTGTTGCTTCCTGGCTAGAATACCTGAGGCATAGGGATTGCAGCTGTACTGACTTAACAGAACTCTCTTTCCTCTAGCTTTGACAGCGCGGGCTGCACCCTGAATTCTTTATATCCACTTAGTCCTCTCAGGGCAAGACCCCGAGCTGTTCTCAGGAGGTGACTCAGGCAGAACTTGCTGACCTGCAAATGGGGAAGTTCATTTTGTCTCAAACTGTCAAGCATAGATTCATCTTTGTTCAAATATGAGGTCTGCCTTTGGTTGCAGATTAACTGCACAAGATTATTCTCATGTCTACCGTTATTTTCACTTCATGCTCATAAAGCTTAAGCTGCATCAAGGCTTAGCACGTAAGCACGCACATATTGGAAAGAGTAACAAGTTGGAAATTTTTTTTCCTCTGTTTTCACATGCTTCTTTGCCCATTGCATTTGTTCATTGATTTATGTTCTAAATTTCAGACTTTTTGGTGAATATTGCCAAGGCTGACCTGACATTAAGAGATAAGGACTTGAATACATCTTTGCACTTGGCTAGCAGTAAAGTAAGTTGAAGACCACTGTGCGCTTCTGTAATTTTCAGTCTCTTGTGTCGGTGTGCCTTCTAAAAAAAAAAAATTCCACAATAGAAATGTGATGGTCAGACTTGTGGTGAGAACACTGTATTGAGCTTCTTTACAAGTCTGTTTCCAGACTTAGTAAATGGAGAAATATGAGTGTCTCTTAAGACAACTGAAACATAAGTGACACTAAGAGAAATAATTGAAAATCCTTTGATATTTTTACTGAACAATATTACTGTAAAATAGCTTAACATAGGGACAATGGAAAAAACAACAAGAAAAAACAGATATATATTTATTCTTTTTCTCCAAATTCTGTGAAAGGGACCCAGAATTTTATCTTGAATTCTGCAACAGTAAAAGTAGGGGCACTGATAAGGTTGATGCTGATGTCTTTTCTCCCTCCTTTTTTTTCCCACTGGTTCCAATTGCTACTGCTGTTGCCTGTCTTGGCAAAAAATAAAAACAAAGTGTCCATGGCATTCCCTCTTCCAAGACTTTTCTTCTGCTCCTGTTCAGAGATGGGATTCCAGATAGCGTCACTCCAGTTTCTGTAGACATCTGAACTTCATGGAATTTTTAAGGTCCTTCAGGCTACCAGGGTCTCAGAAATAAGGCTCTGGTCTGTTATTGCCTGTTCGATCATCACAGAGCTCTGATGCTGAAGAGCTTTTATAGTTTATAATTCATTAATAGCATGGGAAGGCATTTAAAAATCCTAGGAAGTACAGGTTAGTTTTTGAGATTAAACCCTCATTTTCTCTGTTATTGTGTAGTTGTAGTAATCACTTGAATAATTTCTCTTGAGGGAAATTCAAGTCTTTCTGTAAGCTGAGAAGGTGAGTTCTGCATGAGTGGAGGGCTGAAAGACAGATGACTGCCTACGTCTGTAAATGTGCTAAACATTCTAGTAATGGCAGTTTGTAAATGGTGCAATAGGGCTTTTACAGTTCACCTATTACAGATTCTTATAAACTGATTTTAACGTTCTGTATTTTAAATAAAATTTTACACTTCACATTTGTATATAACATTTATTTTGCCTCAATTTTAAACTTCTCATTAAATTAATACAGTTATTTGTTTCCAACTAGGGTCATGAAAAATGTGCCTTGTTAATACTTGACAAGATACAAGAACAGAGCCTTATTAATGCAAAAAATAATTCACTGCAGACGTAAGTATTGCCTGATCCTCTCAAGTCCAATTGACTTTCCAGAAGATTCTGATTTAGCTTCTCAATTTCACGTCTTGGATTTTTTTCTAGATAAAATTAGATTTCTTACTATTTTTTTAAGTGCTTGCCCTTGACAACACTGCATTTATATTGCATTCTCACTTTTGACTTCTTTAATGCTCCTTGTATACGTGATCTGGTGGAAAATACGAGGTCATTTATTTGAACACTGTATCAAAATGTCGTTTCGTAATGTGACTGTATAAGCATACATCTACCTGTTTGATTTTCTATTTCAAGATTCACTTTAATCAATCTAAGGTTTTACATTTAATTTTTCAAATTATTTGAGGTCATATTTTATGTACAACTGCTTTCCATACTGCACATTACTAGCAGAGTTGTAGCCATCAATGTTCTTACTCCAGCTGCAAGTATTTGAGTGGAATGGAGGGATCCCACAGCAGAAGATTTAACCACGAGCTCAGGCAGTTGATTTAGTGCTTGCTGATGAATCCATTTGTCCTTAGCTCGTTTCCCTTCCCTCCCACCCTTCAATTTGCAGTTGTTCTTCCTCTCCCATTAGCTGTTTCTAAACAGGAGCAACCTAGCTTTCCTTAGAATAATTATTTTAAAATAAACTTGAGTTTTGTTGTTTTGCTTTGTAGACCTCTCCATATTGCTGCACGTAATGGCTTAAAGATGGTAGTTGAGGAGTTACTAGCGAAAGGGGCATGTGTCCTAGCAGTAGATGAAAATGGTAAGTAAATAATACACTCAGACAATCTTCAGTAGGTGCCTATCATGTAATTTTACCACAGACTGAAGCAATAGACTTAAAAGCTTGAAGGCGTCATTGATGCTTATATTCTTCCAAGAACAGACAGTGAGCTGTGTGAGTATATTAAAAAGGACACTTTTTTTTTTTTTAATATAAAAATGTATCCTCAACATCACAGTGGTCCCTTTTACTGTTCATTTTGCATGTACTGTCAACAGCTAGTCTTTTTTAATGCTTGAGTGCAGTGGTAACTTGAATTTCCTAAACATGCAAGTGGCGCCGGATAATTCTGACTCCTTGCAGAAGAATTAAGGATTATGCATTCAATCAGCGCATGTTTTAATGGGTAGGAAGAAAATCATCATCATTTGTTTGATTGTGTCCTGGTTCATTCTGAGAGCAATACTTGTCGTTTTCAACTGTCTGACCTAACCCAAGATGCAAATGAATTACTGTTGCCTCCTAAAATAAATGATGAGTTAATAAATCTGATAATTTTATTTCAGATCTCAATGAAGTCCTTCCTTAAACATTACAGAGTCTATAGAGGGTTGTGCTTCTATTTTTTATTACAAAATGTCTTCCTGAAATATGCTGCTTTCTCTTAAAATACGGACTTCATGGCATTAATGTAACAATTCAGTACTTCCATCTTGCTGTATCTGTAAAGCAACAATACTGCTACTTAGTCATTATTGCAAGACATTTTGAGATCTATGGATGAAAAGGGCAGAGTGGTATTTATTGTTAACCAGATGCTACCAGATGGACTTGCATGAAGGAGTCCTGCAGAAGTCATCTGGCCCTAACCTCATTTAGAGAAAGGGGACAGGAAAGTGAACCGGGATAGCTTCTAACCATAGTTTTTTATAGGTAAAATCATACATGAAGATCTAGGCAATTTGCATGTATGTAATGAGTGAAAATTAAGTTTAAAGTTGATACTAGCTTGATTTTTTTAAGAGTAGCTGCTTACGCAGAGCAGAAGAGAAAAATTTAAGTACAATCTTAGTAAAAGTATAGTTCTAAAGAACACTTGCACTTGGAACACAGTAGAAGAGGGAGTTCTATTGAGAGTATTTATTCACTGCTGTTGATGCCTGAGTGTGGGTAGTTTGCTGCAAAGCTGTTCTCAAACTCACCTGCTGCAGATGTTTTCAGCTTATTTGAGGCAGTAGGATATCAGTGGAGGTCATTGCTTTAGATTAATATTGCAGCAATCTGCAAAAGAACTCTTTGCACTTAGAATAGAGGAGTTGTTGGAAAGTCCTGAAGTACTACATAGCAATGTGTAAAACTGATAGATAGAAAGCAGAATCAGCACATCCATTTCAAAGATGTGTGTATGTGAAGAGCTGATTTGGGGAAGCACTTGAACAGGAGCAAAGTTAAACTGCAGTGAAAGCAAACTTGATGGCTCCCCGTTCTTAGAGTTACTGATACCAGTATTATTTTAACTTCACATTACAAAACATAGGCCATGCTTACTGAATACAGTCATTGTTCTTCTAACATAATGCAAATTGTGAAAAATATCCAGATAGTCCTACTTGCTGTACATGTACCACGTGTGCTGATCTAATTCGTTTCTTAAATTTAATTCCTAAATAAATTCTCTGAGTTGAGTATGTTCTCAACCGACCAGTCTTTGAAATTGTTTGCTTATTACTTCAAAATATGATTAAACTAATATCTGTCATGTTTCAATGAAAGCCGTTGTTCTCAGAATGAGACTTGTTCATCTGTGCAGAAACTGAAGCCAGTTTCTGTCTGTGTTGCTGTACACCCGTGTTCTGTATCCACCGTATTGTTTGTGCTGTAGAATCATGTTTGGCAAGTGCTTTTATTTATATTGTTGTGGAGTCTGTTTGCCTTGATTTAAAAAAAGCAGTGCTTGTGGTCACAGCGATTTAAATGCTCTACGAAGTGTGTATCTTCCCAGCATGTCTAATTTGAGAACAGTAACACACCCCTGCTGCTTGGCATGTGACTGTAACTGGACATACATCTCCTGCCTACAAAGTGCTCTAGAGATGTATATGAGGATTGCTCAGTGCCATTCTCAGTACCCTTAGTACTAACCGTTGCCTTGTCTGCGTTTGTGCCCAGGTCATACGCCAGCCCTGGCTTGCGCTCCTAACAAAGACGTGGCTGACTGCCTGGCACTCATTTTGGCTACCATGATGCCTTTTTCTCCTTCCAGTTCAATGACGGCTTTCAACTTCGCTTGTTATAAAAAAGACAGTTTGGGCAGGACGCATCTCTGCGATGGCACCGCTATGGGTAGCATTAACTCTTACAATAAGCCCTTGAGTAATAACCTAGGAACAGAGGATGGGTACAATGAAAATGATTCTGATTCTGAAACATTTTGACTTTTTGGTATTCAAAAAATTTTATTTCATTGCTATTTCCTTTCAGTTTCTGTTTTTGTTTTTTCTTTTAAGACAGCTTAAATCCCACTGCGATATTCTTAACTATGACTCTTGACAAGTAGGTGTTGAGATTTGTAGTGCTGATGAGAATTAAGCCTTTAAATAACCAAGTTGGGGGCATTTACTGGAACGTATTCCCATTACTGTTCTGTGGCTTTTTGTCTTCCTCGTGTTTTCTTTAGGCCCTAAGTGCCCCTGTGGAAAGTCTCTACCTCTAACTTCAAGTATTAAAAAAAAAAAAGAAAAAGAAAAAAAAAAAAAAAAAAAAAAGAGAGAAAGAAAATGCCTTTTTTTTCTTTTTGACAGCACAATTAAACAGGGAATTGTTTGTAAAAGGTACTTAAGTGATTTAGCTGTACTATTAGTACACAAATGTGTTTCCAACGTAGCCTTCATAGCATCATCATTTTTCTCTATTTGTCTGTTTCTTAGTTCCAGGGGCTCTAATAATTAGGTATTTTTTTTCCACACAAACCAAAGGTAAAGTTGTAAATCTTAAATCTGCCTGTATTACTTTTTTACAGGAAAAGAAATGTTTTACATTCCGCATGCATTAAGCACTTAAACGTACAGAAGGCACTTTTTTACAGTTATTAGTTACAGCACACAATCAGAAAAATATAAACTCTTCAGGCCAAATTCTACTTGTCTTAACATATGTCCCACTGATGTTAGTGGAACCACTTGTGGAAAATGGAAATGGCTTGGTCCTCCCCCCCCACACCTCAATTCAGCACAAGCATGAACAGTTGATTTGCACTACAGAATTAAGGAATTAAGGTCAATAGAAGTTTCTGTCACCTGAGCTGTTAACCAGGAATCTAGCTAGTATCAGAACAGAAATGAAAAATCAGGTGTAGGCAAAGGTGTACGTAAAGGTTTATGATGTCTTGCCAACTTCAAGGGATTTTTTTTTTTCCTATGCTTAAATACCTTGTTTTTACTGTAGACAGTATTGATTTTTAAAACACTTTTGCCACTGTTTGGATTGACAGAACAAAGGTAAAGCAATGAAAGCGTAACACCAAAAGTTGAAATACCAAACAGGAGAGAAAACAAAAATGGACCAGGCAGGGGATTGGAGATGCACTCTAAGAGCCTTTTGTCACCAGCTTTGAAAGCAATGTCAGCTTTGTGAATATGTTTACTCCTTCTGCCAAAGTTTCTAGGTCAAATGGACCCCGACCCTCTTCTACAACAGATGTACAAAAGGAAGAATGAGACTTTATAAACAAAACAAACGCCTATCCAAACTAACCAGCTCTACCAAGAGGACCAAAATGCTTCAGTGAATAAATGGAAGACTTTATTGCTTTTATTTTTTCTTCAAATGTGAGTGACATAATGAAGTAGCTTTTCTAAACCACAAAAATATAAACTTTTGAGGTAATGACTAGTCTTGAGTGAATTTTACATTTTATGACACAGGTTTCAAGATGACATTTGTAACTAACAATGTGTTGACCACAGGTTTGTTCTTTTTTTGTTGTTATTTTTTTTTTTTTTTCCAGGCTAAGGAAAATGTTCATATGCTTTTAATGTAAATGTGTTTATATTTATTTGAAACGAAACAAATGCCCAGGAAAAATAACTATAGCTTTTTCTCTATGGTAGTATTTGTGCATATTTTTCAGCATAATGCAAAATTAAATGTGAATCGAGGCAGGAGTGATGGCCTGAGTGGAAAGAAGGGAGTTATGCACTTGGGAAGTGCACCCATCTTACCACTTGGAATACAAAGATGAAGTCCACAGGCTATATTGGTAAAATGCATGATCATTTAAGAGCATAAGAAAGGGATCCAAAACATTGCTAGACAAGTGAGAGAACACTGTACAGCCACAGGAAAGAGGAAAAGGGTAATATAGCATAGAGTGGGATGTTAAAGTTCCAGTGATCCATGCTCAGAATGTCTGCAGGCCTAAGTCTTTGGAGGGAGAGGGAGAAGAGCTGCTGCTTCAGTGTACACTTTTGGCAGGGTAAATGAACAGTAGGGATTTCTAGTTTAGTTGCAGTTTTTAGCTGTGTTCCACTGAACTGTGTAAAAGCTGTCTGCAAACTTCAGTTCTTCAGTTAGAAAAATGATATATTGTTCATTTTGCCTTGCTAAAATTAAGCATTCTTTTCTTGAACAATAATTCATTTCCAACAATTGCAACAAAAAATCCTGAGAGGCAGCTCTGTGAGGATAATGATATTTTCCCTGAACCCTGCCTTTTCTGCAGTAGAATGACAGAGCACCTGAAACTGTGGTTTCCTCCTCAGAAATAGCACAGAACATTTTTATCATTGACTTTATTCAAAGTTTTAGCTTGTAAAAGCTGCAAAATAGCAATAACCACCTCACTTCAAGCACTGAAAATAAGAGACAGTTGTTGGTTTTCAGTGGTGTCTGCTTAGAAATGAATGGAAATCCCATGTTTTACTACTTTTGTTTTGTGGAAGGATGGCATTTAAAATGAACAAACCAATGGGAAATGGCTGGCACCTGCCTGATAGGCAGCACCTTCATCTTACTTTAAACAGAGCTTAATCATAGTCCAACCCTGAAATGCAGAGAGATGTTATCCTATATGAAATCATTTCATTTGGAGAAAACCAGTCCTCTTTTCGAGGGGGATGTTGTCTTATCTGAAGCAGGCATTCAAAAAGAAAATAAAAACCAGTATTTTTACTCACTGCCACACAGTTACTGAAAATATTTCTGTGTGTTTGCAATACCTCCTAACTCTGGTAACAGGTAGTGCAATATGTGCTGCTGCTTACGATGGATGCAGTGTTACAGAAGCATAGGTGATTACTGAATTAATTTGTACCTTCTGGGAATCAAATCTAAACTTAACTGAGAAATCATTTCTGTAACCCAGTGATGATGTAAGTACGCAATACTCCAGAAGTCTTGGAAAAGTGTGATCTGTTGGCATCCTAAGGGCATTGGGAAAGCCGTGTTCTGAGCATGGTGTTCTTAGGAGAAGGGACAGGAGCAAGGCGCTTGGATGTACGCAGCATTGGCCTGCCTCAGATCTCACCTGAGTTGCCAGAATCCCTTTTCATGTATGCCAGTACGTTAAGCTGTAATATAATTTATCGCTTGTAGCAGTTATTTAGGGCATGGGAATAATTTTACTCTTGTAAATAATTACCTTGCCTTTCTGTGGACGTTGTACGAGGGTAGAGTTAATCACACATAATTGTTGCACTTAACCCCGGATCCTGCAATTTGCAGTACGTGGACTACTGCTGTATCTGCACCAAACAGTGAGTGTTTGGGACGGGCAGCAGCCTGCCCAGCTTTATTAGCAGGATGGTCCCATCCTGTGTTTTAACCACAGTCGCAGGTGGAATCCATGGCGGGATTGGGTCCGTGTCTCTCTCACAGATACTGAGTTACAACCTCCGGACTGCCTGAATTGCTGTGAAATAGCTCAGGGGATTTCTGCTCATCGCTACTAAAAGGGCACCATAATGTGTTTGGTACTTTTATGCAGTAAACCACTGCCAGATGATGAAAGGAGGACAAACACATGAAATGAACCGTTTATCCATTGTACTGTTGAGAAACTCGGTTGTGTATCTTGACGATGATTTTAAAAAAGAAATTGTGATTTTTATTCTTAGTCTTGTAAGAAATATTAGAGTGCCTTTTTATATTTGCGTATGATGGAAATGTTTTGTGGAAGTTGTCTTTTTTTTTTTTTTTCTTTTTTTTCCTCATTTGAGTGTTACAGAAGCAATATATCACCAGTAAATTTTCATTTCAAACCTTCTTTGAATGTACAAAGTGTTTCTCCTTTTCGTATGTTCTACCTGCATTGAAATGAAAATCGATATGCTAAATTTCTATAGGAATAACGTCTAATTTTTGCAGTGCTGAAAAGGCTTTCTTATTACACAAAGTAAACCTTAGGTCAGTGTTATAGGAAAGGGCGTTTGAAACTAGTGACAATCCGAGTGTGCGTGTAAATGTGACTTTATGCGTTTGTATGCAGTGATTACATATTAAAGCCAATATCTCATGTTTTGTAGGTTTTGTCTCATATCTTATGCTTTAGCATGTGCAATATATCCTTACAACCCACGGTGATACGAATCTGGTGCCAGTGTTATATTTTGCATAACGTTTGTAATAAACGATATGAAATGTTGTTGCATTGTTTCGGTGGGGTTCTGTCGGTATTGTTTTCTTTTGTAAACGGCGGCCCTCGGCTCGACGTCCCGTATTCCCGAGGCAGGATGCGGCGCCTCAGCCCGCCCCTCTCAAGCACAGTTTGTTAACTCCTTTCAACTACTGAATGCTGTATTAATGTAACGAGAAACCCCACCCGTGAACTACACTTGATATGCATTCAGATGGTTATTTTTACAAATAAAAATGGTACAAATACTGTCGGAAAAACGGAGTACGTTTTGTTTGTTTATTCAAAGGAGGGGAACACGCGTACATATTCAGCGCGGGGGCGGTGCTCCGAGGGCGCTTCGTTTAAAGAACGGGAAGCGGCCCCGCTCCCGCGATGCCGGGACGGTGGTTTTCCCACGCGCCACTGAGCAGAAGGCGGCGGCGGCAGCGCGCCCTGAGCTCCCCATCACGGCACGCGCGGCCGCCCCGCCACGGGCGGACCTGTGAGGAAGCGCCGGCTCAGCGCACGCCCTTCCCAAGATGGCGGCCGCCCGCTCCGCCTCCCGGGCGGTGCCGGCCCCGCCCCGCCGTGTCTGCGCGCGGACGGCTAGCGAGGAGAGGCGGCCTCCGCGCCGCTTCGCAGCTCAGCGTGGCGGGGCACCATGGGGCGGGCCGGCCGGCGGCTGCCCGGCGTGGCGGCGGTGCTGTACGGGGCTCTGGCGGCGCTGGTGCTGCTGGGGGTGCGGGACGTGCTGTTCGTTTACGAGGAGAACCGGTGCAGCATGACCTACATGTACGAGTACCCCGAGTACCTGGTGAGCGGGAGCTGCGCGGGGAGGGAGGCGGCGATGGCGTAACAGGTGGCGGCTGCCGGGCGGGTGAGGCGGCATCGCGCCGCCCCGCGGCTGTCGGGGCCTCACCGCTCCGCCGGGGCGCGGCCGGGGGCGGCTCTCCTCGGCCCCTTCGTGCGGTCGAAGGCGGCTGCAGGGGGACGGCTGCTGGCGGCTCCGAACTCGCGTGTGCCCGGCGTGCTGCTGTTGGGAAGGGGGCTGCAGCCTGGGCGAGTTGTGGGGGTGGGCGGTGCGCCCTGAGCCGCTAGAAAATAGCCATCTACCTGTGGGGTTATGTGTAGTGCTGTCACCTGCGCAAAAGAAGACCAAAGATTGCTGCTTTTTCCTCCACCTGGTAGTTATAGGCGTGTGATTTGTGGTCGCGGAGAGACCAGTCAGAGGCGCGTTCCTCCTGTGTAAGAGAAATTGGTCGGCCAGGTGCTCCGTCAGCACCGTGGGGGGCCGTCGGTGCCCGCAGGCCGAGGCTCGTTCCGTCTCACGGTCCTTCCGTGCTCTGCGGGGTGCCGGGCGGCTGTGTGAGGAGGGGGAAGCTCAGCCGTCAGCCCGTGCCTCGGGTCGGCGAGCAGAGGCGCTCAGGTGGGCGCTGCCGGCAGCTGGGAGGGCTACGCGCCTGATGGGGCTTTGCTGACGAAGCCTTTGTAAAAATCTCTTTGGAAATCTGCTGTACTGAAGCAGCGCGTTCATTTTGGATCAGTTAATGTGTGTCTGGTAACCTTGGTATGGTCAGGTCGTGTCGATGGTGGCATCCAGAAGGGAGCTGCTTGAACAATTTTACTCTACCGTGCTCACAAAGAATGCAAACACTTAAACATCATGCAGTAAATTTTGAGGTCTCCTGGTAGCCAGACTCTACTTCAGGTTCAGTCTGAAGCCACCAAATCAAAGTTACTGGCAAAATCCTAGAATGGTTTGTGTCGGAAGGGACCTCAAAGATCACCTGCTTCCAACCCCTGCTGTGGGCAGGCTGCCAGCCACCAGCTCAGGATGCTCAGGGCCCCAATTAGCATGGCCCTGAACGGCTCCAGGATGGGGCACCCACAACTCCTCTGGGCAGCTGTGCCAGCGCATCACCACTCTGAGTGGAAAAATTTCCCACTCGCATCCAATCTGTGTCTTCCTTTTCTCAGCTTAAAACTCTTCCTTCTTGTCCTGTCATTACCTACCTGTGTTTAGAATTGATTTTTCTGCTGCATGTAAGCTTCCTTTAAGGAAGGACTCTGTATCAAGTCTCCCCAGAGCCTCCTTTTCTGCAGGCTGAATGAGCCCAACTCTCTTAGCCTGTCCTCATAGGAGAGGTGCTCCAGCCCTCTGATCATCCTCATGGCCCTTCTGTAGACCCATTCCAACAGCTTGGGATCCTTCCTGCACTGGGGGACCCAATGAATACAGTACTCCAGATGGGGCCTCATGAGGGCAGAGAAGAAGGGGACAATCACCTCCCTGACCCTGCTGGCCACAACATCTGGATGTTATCAGGCGTAGCCTGAAATTACCATCTGCCAGCACACACCTTCTGTGTTTACTTGCCATGCCAGTGCTTGTATTCTCCATGACATAGGTTCTGTGCTGTAAGAAGTGTGAGGCCCTGGATGAGCACAGGGACAGGGAAGTGGCAGCAGCTCCATGTGGAGCCATGCACATCACATCTGGCTGTGCTGCTGCCTCTCACAGCAACTGCTCCCAGAGTAAGCTCTCTGACTGTGTGGAAAGCAGTGCTTCCGGAGGAGAATATCAACTTGTTTGGGTTAGTGAAGTCATCGTACCTTTCAGCTACCTGTTTGTTCTTGGAGGGGTTGTTTGTTTTCATTTTAACGTGTGGACTTTGCAGTGCTGCCATTGGTGTGACGTTACCAGGCAAAACTATCAGGTAGAGGTGCTTGTTCTTTCTGGTTTGGGTGTTGCATTACACAACAGGCAGTTCCTTGAACACTGAAGCACAGTAGGTTTGATTTTCTGGAATCCATGTTTTTCTAACAGCTCGCTGTTGAGCTAATGCCAAGTAGAAGAATATTGGCATGGATTTTTTTTTTTCTTCTTAACCTTTTTCTTTCTCTCTTTTTTTTTTTTTCTTCCCTCCCTCCTTCCCCCCCCCCCTTCCCCCCCCCGCCCCGAGTTGTAAACCACAACATTTGAATATAACCAATACTTGTCCTGCTGGGCTCACCTCAGTGAGAGATTCCAAAGTTGGTATGGAGGGCTATTTCCCATACACCTTATTTCCATGGAAGTAAGATGAAAAAGGAAGCCTACATTGACATTGTAACAAATTGCTGTAACTCATTACACCAAATTATGTAGTTGAGGTCCTGGGAATTCAAGACCTAAAACCCCCACATGGAACAGGGCTACCTGCTTCACACTTGGGCTCTGTCACCATACTGTTGTAATAGTGGGGCTCCTCAATTTGCAGGAAAAAAAAAACAATATTGTGGCTGTACAGTTCTCATGGTTTGTGTAGGTTTTTACTTGGGATGTTGACCTGAAGGTGACAGTTTGTTTGGCTTTTATGTTACCTGAAAGCTTTCGACAAACCAGAATGGTGCTGTGGAGGAGCAGCTGAACAGATTATTTGGCCAGTTGGGAAGTGTATTTAGCTTACTAATGAAGGCTTGTTTCACTTAATGCAAGGATGGGTCTGTGCTTTTTTTTGCATGGAAACCTGAATGCCTTTGAAAAAGGAGATTGTATGGGTGATCTGCAAGCGTCAGGCCTGAACAGAGCCCAGTGGTTTTTGTTCAGAGTGAAGGAATTACGACTATTTGTGTGTATTTATAATGTGATATATGTATACGTATACATATAGCACATTAGAGAAAACTTGAGATATATCTTAATCTTCTATTACAAATGTGCATCGAAGACCATAAGGGGGGGTGTTGCCAATAGCTGGTATGGCAAACAGTTTGAAAACTGAGGGAGAAAGGAAATGGTCCTCAGTTAAGGAGGAACAGACAGAGAATAGGAGGGGAAGGGAGGAGTGATACATGGGGGAGAGAAGTACAGCTTCCCCATAGGCACAGCTGAGAGGAAACTGAGGCAGAGCTGCTTCTGTGTAGGCAAAGCTCACAACAGAGACCTTAGAGACATTTTTTGATGCAAAACTGAGTTTAATTTTTTTCTTGCTGCATAAAATAAAATGTTTCCTTAAGACAAAAATTGCACCTTAACATATTTTAAATTATATTTGTCTCTGATGTGCCATGGATGGTAACATAAGTAAGTGAGAGCTATAAGTAATGTCTTTGTATTTCTAGAAATGTTATAAATCTTTATCTTGGAAACCTGAAATTACAAACCAATCAATATCTATAGGGAAGTGAATTAGATGTTTTCTTGCTTACTGCTTATCTAGTTTAGAGCAGTGTCAACAGGGCTGTGAGAGCTGTGACTCCCTGCTCTGAGCTTTAAGCAAGACATCAGGTTCCACGAGGTTTTGTTCTTTGCTCTTTGGGAACTTGTAGTGCAGTGTTCAGTGTGGTGTGGGTCGGTTTTTCAGTTAGTTTGATTTTTTTAAATACAAGAAATACAACATTTTAGGATATCAGTTGGCTGTAAATTGGCTCTTGAGATTTTACAAGTGTACAAGTGTGTGTCTGTGGCCCAACCGACTGACTCCAAAGACTAGAACTCCTCAGGTTGATACGGGCTTCTTTCTTTCTGCTCAGCCATGTTCACGCCGTTAGCTCTGTTGTTTAAGTTCGCGTTACAGATGATGTCTCCGTAAGAATCACTGGAGACAGTTCCTGCTCCCTGTGTGGTTTTCCCCTCACAGAAATCGCTGTCACTTCAATAGTCACACTCTAGAGATTCAGCCTCAGTGCTGCATCAAATAGTGCAGGGTTGTTCTGAGTTGTGTGATGCTGGACACGACTCCAGAATCATCCAACGGCATTAAAAATAAGTAATTTGGATCACACAGATGTCCCAGTTCCTGGTCTCAAATCTCTTGTCCTGGGAGACGCATTTATGGTTTAACACTTTTTTCACCTGAGGCACAAGGCAAGGCTTGCTTGGAGTGTGCAACTGCGGAATTGTAATTGCAGTCATGCTGTTTAAATCCAGTTAAAGTCAGCAAGTGTTCCTAGGAGCTGGGTGTCAGAGTTTGGTTCCTTTAAGCTTAAGACTGCGTTCAGAAACAGAATCACAGAATGGCCAGGGTTGGAAGGGACCTCAAGGA